CCCGGAATACCTCTTAGTTTATATTTGACAGTTACCAAAGAGACAATGGGAGCCATGCTAGCACAAGAAGTAGAAGGCAAAGAAAACGCAATCTACTATCTAAGCAAGAAGATGCTCGAATACGAAGCACGCTATACACCACTCGAGAAGTTAAGCCTCGCCTTGGTATGGGTCACAACCAAGTTAAGACATTACATGCTAGCGCATACCGTCTTCGTAGTCTCCCGATTAGATCCACTCAAGTATCTATTTGAGAAATCTACACTCAATGGACGCATATCGAGATGGATAGTCAATCTAGCCCAGTTTGATGTAAGGTTTATGCCACAAAAAGCTATCAAAGGATCCGTGGTGTCAGACTTTCTAGCAGACTTCCCAATAGAAGACTCGACGCCAATACAAGACAATGAATTTCAAGATGAAGATTGAAGACTTAATGGTCACTGAAGATGATACCTGGACCTTATACTTCGACGGAGCCTCAAACCAAAAGGGATGTGGCGTTGGAGTATTACTAGTATCACCTAAATAAGAGCATGTTCCAATCTCCATAAAGCTTGATTTCGACGTTACCAACAATGCTGCTGAATATGAAGCATGCGTGGTAGGCCTTGAAACAGCTTTGGCATTGGGAGTAAAAAAGTTAAGGATATTCGGAGACTCTTCTTTAATTATCAATCAAATATCTAAAAGGTGGAAAGTAAGGAGCGAAAGTCTAGCCCCTTACCAAACCTATCTGGAAACCCTCACCGATCAGTTAGAGAAGGTATAATACACATATCTACCTAGGGAAGAAAATTAATTTGTTGATGCCTTGGAAAGACTAGCCTCAATGGTTAGGATTCCCACGGAAATCGAGCAAATGCCTCTAACTGTAGAGAAAAGGCACAAACAAGCATACATCCAGGCTATAGAAGACGATGAAGTAGTCCAAGACGAAGAAGAAGAAGAAGAAGAACCATGGTACACGGATATACTCAATTATGTCACCAAAGGAGAATACCCTCCCCATGCTGACAAAAGAGCAAAACGAGCATTAAGACTCTTGGCTTCCCAATATGTACTCATAGACAACGAGTTACATAAAAGGGTACTTAAGGGTTGAGCTCTCCTATGCATAGGAAAAAAGGATGCACAAAGAGCAATGAGAATAGTTCACGAAGGAATCTATGGCACTCATATAAATGGAAAAATGTTAGTCCAAGAAATAATGCGAGAAGGATATTATTGGACTACAATGAATAGGGATTGCCATCAATATGTAAAAAGATGCCCTAAATGCCAAATCTATGCCAATTTACAACATGTTCCTCCATCCTTACTCTACACCTATACGTCACCATGGCCATTCTCTACATGGGGAATTGACATCATCAGCAAAATCACTCCCCCAAGAACAGGACGCCACAAATATATCCTAGTAGCAATTGATTACTTCACAAAGTGGGTCGAAGCGCAATCATACGCTAAACTCACTACAAAACATGTAACACTCTTTATCGAGAGGAATATTATTTGTCGATATGGAGTCCCACATGAAATGATAAGTGACAATGGAACTCACTTTCAAGCCGAATGTGAAGAATTGTTACAAAAATATAGCATTCAACATCATCATTCTTCCCCTTACAGACCTCAAGCAAATGGAGCAGTCGAGGCAGCTAATAAAAATCTAAAGACTATCATCGAGAAAATGACAGAAAATTATAAAGATTGGCCTGACAAACTTCACTTCGCATTGTGGGGTTACCGCACGTCAATCCGTGCATCAACAGGAAATACACCATTTTCCTTAGTATATGGAATGGATGTCGTATAACCTGTCGAACTAGAAATTCCATCTCTACGTATGGCATTAGAGAGAAAACTCGATGAAGTTGAATGGACTAGGGCAAGATATGAAGAGCTAATTTTACTCGATGAAAAACGACTAGAAGCTCTACATCACACTCAGTGTTATCAAACTCGTATGGCTAGGCATTTTAATAAGAAGGTCAAGACCAGAAATATCAAAGTAGGAGACTTAGTGTTAAAAGAATTAAGGAAAAATGTTTTAGATCCAAGGGGAAAATTCAGACCTGATTGGTCTGGACCCTACATTGTCAAAACAATCTTGTCAGGAGGTGCAGCAAAACTAACTGATATGGATGGCAATGAGTTCTCGAACATGACAAATCTTGACCAACTTAAGAAATACTACCCATAATTACTTGAGTAGGATACTTAAGAGAGCTACGTTTGGCCTGATTCCTTAAAAAATGATACGTAGGCAACCCTTTACGGGTGCGGCCACTTTATTTTTCGAAAATTTCGCATACTAGAATTAATTAAAAATTCGACAGAAGATCGGCGAAATATCGGCGTCGCGGATAAAACTCTGACGCCAGACAACGACTATCAGCGCCAGACGACGGCACTGGCGCCTGGCGCCAGACGGCTGTGGCCGGCGTTAGTTGCAGATAAGCTGCGCCAATTCACAGTTAAATTATGGGCATATTTCGGTGTTTTTCAGAAAATTTTCGACTTCCGTACTCGAAGCATTTCTGGAAAATTAATTTTTTCGGTTTTCATTGCTTTAATAAATAAATTTAAAGTAAATAATTAATTAAAAGCTGAAATTTCATTAATAAAATAAAATTACATTATTGATGGAATTTAAATAAAGTTGAAATAAATTGACTTTAAATAAAAAAAAATATAAACTAAGTCTAATAATTTGAAATTAAGCAATGCTCTTAATCTTTCTTTTCTTTCCTAGCCCTTTTCCAACTTTTGTCTGCTTCCTCCTCCTCATCCATAACCTTAGCCAGTAGGCATCCTTTAGAAGACCTACATTCAATCTTAGAGTAGATAGTTTCCCCTTCAGCTAGGACTCCTTACTTCTTTTCTACCCAGACTTTTTTATCTGTGGTGTCAGCTTTCCTTTTTCCCTTATCTTTTGTAGTACTTTTCTTCCTATGCATTACAGGTGTTTTTAATTCAACTCTTTCACCTAAGCGTTCCTTGGCAGGAATCACCCTGTCACCTAGACGACTCTTCACATCAGTTTTACCCTGATTTTTCTTCAAGTCCTTTGAAGGTTTCTTTAGCAACCACTTCTTCACATCATTGGGCAAGGAAGGAGGGACCTTTTGGGTAATCACTTCCCATAAAGGTCTAGCACTCCAATAAGCATCAAATCTGTCTACTTCCTGAGAGACAGGGTACTCGTAGGGAGGACGAAGATCTCCGGAAGGAATATTCTGAAGCAAGTCGTATTGTCTTTTTACCCTGCAGGGCTAATAATAATAAGTCATACGAGACAAACTTGGAAGACGGCAGAAAGGTTGCTTGTTGACACCAACCATCCTTTCTATTTTCCACCATGGGACGACCCACTTGATAGCAAAATCGCGAGATTCGAAGACCTTTCTCCACCCATGGCGCCCAATTTTAGGGAAGCGTTTCTTCCTTCTCACAAAGCAATTGGGAATATACTTCTCAATATTGTCCGGAGGGCTAATTAATTCTAGCCTTTCCATTAGCCACATCTGTAAAAAAAATTGCAATGCAAATAAATTATTATTACAATACAAAAATATATTTTGATTTCTTTAATTAAAAATATTATTTTTCTACATGTAATAAAATTGGAGAGCCGCGAAAAGGTGCTTTTGGGTTCCTTTTCAATTCATCAAGACTAATCATAGTCTCTCCAACTATCAATGGCATTGGATTTCTCCCTGATTCAATTTGTTTTAGTACGGTGGTTATAATTGATTGACCTTCATTATTTTTACCACTACTAAGAAAAAATTGATTAAGCATGCAAAATAAGAAAGCCCTTCTTCTATATATATGAAAAGATTCAGAAAGAGGTTTATCAAAATAACGGCGTGCAAATTCTTTCAAGTTAACTATGTTGCCATCTACTATTTTTGATAAATCCCTTTCTTTTAAATTAAAGAAGCGCTCAAAATCCTTATAAAAATATGCATCTACTCTAGGGATTACTATGAGGTCTATCGCAAGGAAGCCTAAAATAGCACCAAATTCTTCTGGCAAAGGGCTAATCTCATATCATACCCTATTCTAAAGCAATGAGTATCAACATTCCAAAATTCTAGAGCGGTATGTATGAAATCTAAGTCAAGATCTACCCCTTTGATGCCATAAATTCCCCCCAAGTGAAACAAATCTAATTATTTTTTGTCTCTAGCATTAAGAGATCGACACCATTATTATTATTATTATTATTATTATTATTATTATTATTATTATTATTATTATTATTATTATTATTATTATTATTATTATTATTATTATTATTATTATTATTGTTATTATTATTATTATTATTATTATTATTATTATTATTATTGTCGTTGTAATAATAGCTTAAAAGAATGAAATTTGGCTTTATATCATAACAATATCATTAGACATAAATTGAAGTGAACTGAACTGAAAATAAACTGAACTGAACTGAACTGAACTAAACTAAACTGAACTGAAATTCAACGTATGAGAACAGACCCTTAATACTAATTCAACTTGAAATCCACTAATGCATAGTATTATATTCGAGATATAAGTCGTTTTTTAAATGAATTACCCTATATTATATAGCCTTTGACTCCAAATACTCTTGAATCACTCCAAGATTCAATTATTTTCAAATTTTTACGAAGTATCTATGTGTCAATTATAGTCTTAGGCCCTGTTTGATTCACCTTAATTTTGCTGAACTGAAATTATTTTTACTGAACTGAACTTATTTTTACTGAACTGAACTTAATTTTACTGAACTGAAATTATTTTTACTGAACTGAAATTATTTTTACTGATTTTCAATTATAATTCTTCTTTAAGAAAACTGAATTTTACTGAACTGAACTGAAATTATTTTTACTGAACTGAAATTAATTTTACTGAACTGAACTTATTTTTACTGAAATGAAATTATTTTTACTTAATATTATTTTTTTAAGGTAAAGAGAACAGGGCTTTAATGATAATTTGAATCGGATCGGATCCGCTTAACTTCATAACTACCTGTAACTCACCCATCCACATAACCAACTTGACTTGCAAAACAAAAAGAGAGAAAAAAACAACTAGACTTGGTAATGAAGTTGCAGCCACTAATTAATGGTAGGCCCATCACTGGTAATCTGTCAATCTTTTGTCTTACACAGTCAGCCAATCAATCACTGCCATTGACAGACTAAACTTGTAAAGAGAAAGAGACTCCTTTCAACTCCCCTTCTTCAACAAGACTCTTAATTAGATTCGCTTTAATCATAAATTAACAATTTTTAATCTTGTTTATCTTAATAATTCTCTGATTCCCTCTTAAAATTGGGTCAAAAATTATTCCAAAAAAATCTTTGAATATTAGCAAGATTAAAACCGCTTTATAAAAAAAAAACCCCATTAATTATAACTGAAATTTTCTGGGAGATTAACACGATTGAAGAAGCGGGTATTCCAGATTTGCAATAATTAATCAAATGGGTATGTCTGAAACTGGAGAAAAAATTGAGGGTTGGTTGTATTTGATTAGTTCTAATCGTCTGGGGTTGAAGAATTCGCGAAAACGCTACTTTGTTCTTCAGAATCATCATTTCAAATGCTACAAATCAATCCCTAATTCCCAGAATGAGTTGGTAATGAAATTTTTAAACTGTTTTATTAGATTTATCTTTACTATACTAATTGTGCATAACTGAATAACTGCACTATTTTTTGGGGAATTTTTATTTAAATTTCCTGCAATTAAGGTTTAGTGATAATGTAGAATTGTGCCTTCTGGAAAATTTAATATTTGATGTGTCTTGAACCAATTTATTTTATCTGTTGCAAGCAAACACTGTTTGTTGGACGAATGTCGGGTTCGTAACGGTTATAAACAATTTATCTATGATGCACATTGTATGTTGTAAGGTTATAAGGTCTCAATTGGGTCATAGTTGTTCTACCTATGATGAGACCATCTATATGCTTATTTCTAGTATAACTTGTTGAACTGATTGCTGTCTGAAGTTTGCTGCATTTTAGTCGTGTTCTCAAAATGTTATTTTGGAATTTGATTTTGTCTTTGTAGGAGGAGCCATAATTTTCTAAGTTGAATAAACCCTCTGCTTGTGATTTGGTTTGTTTCAGCATCCTGTCAAAAGCACGATCGTAGACTCCTGCATTCGTGTTGCAGATAATGGCAGAGAGAGTATTCACAGAAAAGTAAGGATGATTAAGATTTGAAAATTTGAACCTTATCAGGATTCTTTAGTATGGGGGTTTGAGATGATCTATATTATCGCCTTTCTAATGCCTTTTTTTTTTTTTTTTTTTTTTTTTTTTATCAAAATTCTATGTTTGGCTTGCAGGTATTCTTTATTTTCACACTTTATAATAGTTCTAATCACAATGATCAGCTAAAGGTATACATATTTTCTATCAGAGTTTGTTGTTGCTATTATTATTGTCATCATTATTATCATAGTGAGATATTCTAATGCTTGAAGACAAAATTGTAGTTGGGCGCAAGTAGTCCTGAAGTAGCAGCCAGATGGATACATTTCTTTCAGGAAGCAGTATCTAAGGTTTAAAGTTGTTGCTGTTTTTTTTTTTTTAATGTCTTTTTCCCCTTATATCAACTGGGATTTTGAGGCCCTTCAAAGTAAACAGGCTTTCCTCTATGTAGGTGTGTCCCGTTGATGAGATTAGTGGATTGGGTTGTCCCAAGAACACATGGCAGTCTTACAGGTAACCTGGTTGTCATGCAGTATGTGTCTTGTTTACTTGATCAACTTCTTACAGTATGTAATACGCTGTTCTGATCATATCAGTTTGGCAGTTGGTTTCATACTATTGGTAGCCTTCCTGCATTTTCAAAAGAGTTAAAGGGTATTTGTAGTAGCTGGTGCTATCTTATAGTGATATAGTTTTGCTATGCTTATTAGATTTTACATTTCATCTCAAATCTCCATGCAGAACATTGAACACTTCTACATTGATAAGGATACTTGAGTAACTTGACAGATGATACTTGGTGGGAAATTTCAGTCTAATCTAAGATCCAGACCCTTGCCTTAGTTTAGCGCTTGTAGCTGAGATTGTGTGCTTTAAAAATTTTATGAGCCAAAAAGTTGACGTTAGTGCAAAATCTTCTGTGAAACAGATTGAACAGTTCTAAGAGGATACATCATTCCAGTTCAACAAATTGGCCTAATGGTTCATCTTCTCAAATGGATCTTATAACTACTGATGTTGTTGCACCTTCTGCATGGACAATCTTTGGATGTCAAAATGGTAAGACTTGGTATTTTCCATAAAGTTTGAAAAAAAAAAACACACATATACACATATACACACATAAGAAACAAGGAAAATAATTGTATTAATTTTCTTGTTGCAGGATTACGACTATTTAAAGAAGCCAAAGACAGGGATATTCATGGAAAGGTGGGTAGCCTTCCGAAATTCCAAATCTCTCCTTTCTAACCTGAAATATTTTGCTGATTCATCTTTTTTATTCAGCGATGGGATGACTATCCTGCAATCATGGCTGTTGGTGTTGTGGATGGAACATCAGAGAACATATTTCGGGCTGTCATGTCTCTCGGTTCCTTAAGATCACAGTAAGCTTGGTGAAATTTTGTACAGTAACAAATTTTTATATGATAGAGCTTTTCTGTGCTTGCACTTCGCATGTTTCATCATACTTGTACTGATACGTCATACTATGAGTATTATTTTTCTGGTTGCTTCTTTCTCTATGGATTTTTATCAACAAGATAGTATATAGGCGTGCTAACTGTTCTGAAAATGTTAGTAACTTCATATGGTGAATAGGAGAGATGATAATTCCAATCAAACATAACTGTCTCTCATTTGTTTTAAGCATAGCAATATGATCTATTAAAAAACTTAATAAAGAATTGAGGTCTGAGGGGCATAGTGGATCCACAACGTAATTATATGTGACCCTAAAAGTTGTAGCCCTTTTAGGAAATTTAGAAAGCAAACAATAAGATGAATAATACGTATATTATGTTACAAGGCAGTGAAATGCAACCTGTCAAACTTTTATATGAGAAAGTATGTATGTGAAAATAAATTAATAAATAAATTATGATTCAGGTGTAACATATAAGAGAATCAATTGGAAATGTTTAGCATGAAAGAGATCTATAGTCTAGCTGTTGCATGAGTAGTGAAGAGTGATCTTCTGCTGCATCTGTGATGAAGAGTGTACTATTTCTGAATCAGTGGTGAAGAGTGATGTCACTCACTGAATCAATAGTCTAATTATGCGGGAAATTGATTTTTTTTTACAATTAACTAGTTTTGAATAGTGCAATAGGTATTGACAAAATTAGCTGTATGTTTATGACTAATTGCTATCTGGATTTTAAATTCCAACTCATTTGCACTTTGCTTCATGTGAAGATTTCATCTGGGATTCATCTCAGGGTTGTGTTCCTGCTTTCTTTTCTCCATCGTTTCAATTTAATAAGTGGAGAGCTTGCTTGACATCTGTACGAAGTTCCCAGTTTTTGTTCTTCTCTTTCTTGAGAAACCATTGATTTAATTTTTTTTTTTAATACTGGCTAAGATGAGCATAGGACTTGTTTTGTTTTTTGGCTAATATGTATGATCAATGTGGTCCAAACTAACTTTTAAGAATGGGCTGTTTCTGTGACTGATCTGTCCTAAAGTCTGGTCCTGAAGAGAGATATTTTTCTAATTTTAATTTGAATTATTAAAATCTTTTGAGCAAAGGAATTGTTATGTCTTTCTCTTTGTATTGTTTCAGCAACTAATTTGATTTATTTATTTATTTTTAGATGGGATTACTCTTTTTATAGAGGGAATGTTGTTGAGAACCTTGATGGCCACACAGATATAGTTCACAAGGAGCTATGTGCTTCTTGGCTACCTTGGTGAGAAATTTTTTGAATGCTACATGATGGTTTTTCATGATACCAAATTATCAACTAATTAGTTTTTCATGCTTTCCAGGGGAATGAAACAAAGAGACCTCTTGTTGAGACGGTATTGGAGAAGGGATGACGATGGAACATATGGTGCATATATATATGCTTTAGTGCTTAACCTTCATTACAAGCGGAGTTTTATTATTTCCATACTTATAGCTGCATAGCTCATGATTTCTCTGATTTTTGTGTCACAGTGATCCTTTATCATTCGGTATATCACAAAAAGTGCCCTCAGCAGAAAGGCTTTGTTCGTGCATGCCTTAAAAGTAATGTACTTTGAGCTACACATTTATCTAAAATATACCGTATTTACTGCTATGTTCATTCTACAATCCAATTTTTATATTTCCGAGCTGGATATTTACTAGTTTTTCGGGAGAATGTACATGTCTGCTGACTCTGCTCTATTTCCTGACCCATTAATTTTGGCCAACTTTTTGTTAATTCAAGCAACATCCTAAAATTTTACAGAACAGTGGTGTAAGAGGTGTTTGGCCATTAGACATGGTTAGAAAAATATCCCAGGTATAATACTGTTCTGCTTTATTCTTTAGTCAAGAAGCAATGGATATATCTAAGTTTAGGTCACCATTGTAGAACATTGCCTATTTGGGACACAAAAATGAAATTCCTTTTAATTGGACTGTTCTAATGCTGCAATCATGTTTCATCCAAAATTTCAATTAACATGCCATGCAGTGAAGTTGATCTTTTGTATTGGTTGCAGTTTTTGCTGTTGTGCTGAATTTTCACATTTATACCTTGAAATGAGGAAGCACTTATTACTTTGTAAGGACTTAGAATTTTGATTAATGACAGTCGGAATAGCTAAGAAATAACTGTTGAAGGAATTATTATCATATTTCCTCGGTTCCTCCGTTTCACGAAAAATGCAACACCTCATATTTCACGTTTGTTAATGAATTGTGTCAATAACTAATATCTTTAATCATCAATAAGTTTAAAAAAAAAAAAAAAAAAAAAAAAAAAAAAAACTGACATTATGAAAATATAAATCATGAAAGTTAGTCAGAGTAGAGTATGTGAATTGTACATAAGTATAGTGTTGTAATTTTAGTGAAACAGAGGAAGTATATTTCTTATACTTGTATATTTATAAATTCTTGTATTGAGTCCTTTGGTTATTTAGATGAAGAGTCCATTTGATACTAGTGACTACACAATATTTCAATATAATCATTTCTATTTTCTTATATATAGTGATTTTTTAAGGTCCAAATTTATGTCATGCGTAAACTGTAGTTTGATTAGGGGATGCTCTTTTTTGCAGGTGGAGGTTATGTAATAACTCCTATCAGCCATGGGAAGCAGTCTGTTGTGAAACATATGCTTGCCATTGATTGGAAACAGTGGGCAGCTTATTTGGCACCCTCTTTAGCCCGATCAACAACTATACATATGCTTGGGAGAATTGCTGGTATGGCTTTTTCTAAATATGCAATATTGATTTTGGGGTGTGCATATCAAATATCTTCCATGAGTCTTTGCCTTAGAGAGTTTTGTTTACAGCATTAAGGGAACTTTTCAAAGCAAAGGCAGGAGATTGCTTCTCTAATATAATATCTGGTGATTTGGCTTTTTGCCATAACACACAGAATGAGAATAGGACTGAAATGTACCCACCTTCTCCAAACGGGGTAGAAAATATGGAAGAGCAAAAAGACGAAACAGCTGAACTTGGTAGCCTTGCTGAACTCAATGATGTTAGTGATGAATTTTTTGATGCTCCAGAAGGATCAGATTTTGATCTACCAGATCATGGTTGGCCTTCTGACTGCAGTCCAGAGACAATTTTGCAGGTATAAATCTCTTATTAAATTACCTAGTATATGGATGGGAGCTAGTGAAAACTAATTTTAATCTGATGTAGCTTATAGTAGCGGTCTCCTTGGGCCATCATAAAAATTATTCTCCACGTCTTAATAACTAAGAACTATGAAATTATTGAAATATTTCTGTTTCTAGTAATTAATAAAGTTACTCTCGGTTGGTCTGAATCACCTCATTAGTAATCAGTTCCTGACTCCTTGTCTATGCCATTGCTAGATACTGTTGTCATTGAAGTTCATAAATTTTTTTAGCAAAATTGCTTCTGACGGGATCATTTTGTAACTACCCTAAGTTTAATGGTAGTGGCAGAATGAGAAATTTGAAAACTACAGGTTTCATTAAAACTGATCAGAAATTTGTGATTAGAATATTTCAATTTGGATTTCCTCCAACAAAAAAAAAAAATAAGTGTGATAAAACTGAATTATAATTTTTATCAAGCTTATAATTTTCATAGCAGTATAGGACCCTCCTTAATCTAACAGTAAGTCATTCTTTGGATTTTATTCATACTATCTGCTGGCTTCATCATGTCATCTTACTTCTACTCTGAATTGATAGGATTCACGGCCAAAGCTATCAACTGCTGCTGTGTTTGCAAAAAAATTGCATGAGTTAGCAGGTCAGTTAAATGTTTGAATTAATTGTGAATTTAAGGCATACTGTAAGCTAAATTTTATCACGAATGGCATTATGAAGTACTCCTATGTACTAGAAGTCTTGAACTCATTTCTTTTGATTCAGTGCATAAGAAGGGCTACGTCGATTTGATTGAGATGGCTGCCAAAGATGGAACATCTTGCTGCTATGGTGCAACACTTAATAAGGATCCAACATGTACTGTTGCTTCCAGTTGGACAACAGCCGAACCATCTACATTTTTGATTCGTGGAAAGACGTATTTAAAAGACAGTAAAAAAGTATGTGGGTAAAGAATGCTGATAATGATTGATTATTAATGTTGGTCTTCAAAAAAAAAAAAACTAATGTTGACTAGGGTTCTTGTCTTAAGATAAAGTTGTGGCAAGTTGAATGCAAGAATGCAAGATGCAGCTTTTAGATAGATTACTAATATTAGGCTCCCTGTTTTTAATACTAACATTAATTTCTTGGTTTCAGCAATTTCATCACCTGATGTCTTACTTCTTTCATTTTTCTTACCAAATTTGGTCATTATGTCATCATCTTCATGGTACCATGGATCAAATAGAACCTGTGAAAATTATATCATGTGGTTTGGCATCCTGAAAAAGACAGCATCCCCGGCTTAATATGGTGGATTTTCATAAGTGTGTCAATATTATGAGACGTGTGCTCCTCCATTTTCTAGTGCTAGCTTTTATTAATAGAATTTCATATGAATTAAATTACTAAGAGAAAAGGATTTACTGTATATGTTAAGCAGCTAGGAAACCTCTGCTGAGGCCTATAAGATAATCTTATTCTGCACAACCGCTGATGTGTTTTTGGAGTTTATCAGAGCTCGCTATTTTTATGCAATTACTTAAGTGGTTCTGCATGGTGTGCAGATCAAAGCAAATCAGACCTTGATGAAAATGGTTGCTGCTGACTGGCTATCATCTGACAAAAGAGAAGATGATCTAGGGGGTCGCCCTGGTAGTATTGTGCAGGTTATTGCGATCACTTTGTTATTTATGTGTTGATAATGTATTTAATGTCAATGAAAGCTTAACCTGCGAGTAGATAGTTTGAATTAATAGAAGATAATTGTTTCTGGCTCACAGAATTATGCAGCGAAGGGCGGGTCTGAATTCTTTTTCATAGTTAATATACAGGTATTCTTTGTCAGTTTGTTAACTTGATTATTGTTGCAGTTATGAGAAATTTTTTAATATCCTAAATCTACACAACTACATTACTAAGTTTCTAGGTTATATTACCCAGGTCCCTGGATCAAAGACGTACAATCTAGCACTGTACTATATGATTAATAATCTAGAAGACGCACCTCTGCTGAAGAGTTTTGTTGACAGAGACGATGCTTACAGAAATTCAAAATTTAAACTTATTCCGTACATATCCAAGGTCAGTGTGTATAACACTGGTCTCTGCTCTGAGAAAATGCATTAGATTTTTTATCCTGTCTATCCTGTGCAATTAGAACTTGTTTTGTGCATTTTTTATAATTTCATCCATTAAATATTTTGTGGACTCTATGGTGCTTATCCTGCCTGATAATCCTGACAAGCTGACCTCCTTCTCATACTTCCAGTAGAATAGTAGATAGTCTTGGGTGAGACCATGTCACACTAACTTATTGTGAGACTGTAAAAGGTAAGAAGTGGTCAATCACGAACAGAAAATGTCCATATTAGACAATCACAATTCACAAGTGCATGCTGGGAACTTCCAAAATGAGTGACATGTCTGGTGGCACTTACTACTTAGTGTCACAGTGGTACTGCTTCGTACTGCCAGAAGATTTTGTATTACTACCATATGGATTTATTGAAGCATCTCACCAAAAAGTTTCATAGTATTATCAGTGCACCTTTGAGACCACGCTTTCAAAAACGTTAGTCCTAGTATTATCACACTTTCACCAGAACCCTTCAAAGTACTTGCTGATCTTTACCGTGCCCAGATTCCTCGCTGAAACTAGCAGCAGATGGATTGCTTAGGATGGCATAGAGGTCATTTGCAGAGGTACAGGGAATCCTCCCACTATAAGCCCCTGCATTTGTTATTCACCTCCATCCTACCGTTATTCAGTTAATCTTGTGCGAAGGAAATGCTCTTGTGCACAATCGTGAGGCTAAATAACTTTCAAGGGGAATTATGAATTCAAGATTTTTTTAATTTTTATATTATAAACCATCATTGACAGAACTGGAATTCGTAGATCTGGTTTTTTTCATCCACCTGATGACTTTTCTCCTGACCTTACAGAATACTGTCCATCTTTGGTAAACTGCCAAGCCAGCCCATCTATAACCAAAGGAAAGTAAAGCAGAAATTTTAAAATTTCTTCAGCCTTAAACAGAAGGATTTCCCTTGAGTTAGTTTCTCACAATCTCACGCCATAACAGCCATATTGCTCGATTAAATACGCCACAAGCCCAATCTCCGTAGTTAAACTTGGAGAGGGGGGGGGGGGGGGGAAATGCTAAAGGGGAACAGGTTTTTTGTCTTGCATCTCTAATTCCATGGTGTAGTCCTCAACATCCTGTCCCTAACCATCCTTAATAATCTCTAGGAACCAATTATTCAACTTTTAAGTGTTGCTCAGTTGGCCCAAAACACCATCAAGCTACTCACAATTAAGTATTGTGAATTGTGATATCAACAGTTGAGCAACCAAGGAATTTGGTGCTTTAAATTGTGCCAGGATTTTCAGCAAAGAGAGCCTCATTGCAAGATTCTGTTGAAAGAAATCCAATTTACCATTATTCTTAGTTTCATATAAATTTTCCAAAAAAAACCAAGTGCATTTATGTATATTCTTCACTTTTTTCCCCACCAAAAATGATCAACCAAAGCTTGTAATTCATTTCGTTTGTAGATGGGAAGTTTGATATGCTTATTATATGGGCAGGGACTGACTGGGCCTCTTCCTGTGTGAGGATATTTCTACCAACAATGAGGCTAATTGCAGCTTTTCTATTTTCTTTTGCAAATGTTCATGTATACTATCTATATCTCTTTGCGGTTGTTGGCATTCCCAAGTACTTGTTAAAAGTATATTCCACTGCTACCACTTGAGGAATCTCCATAATATGCCTATCTAGTGCTGATACATTAAAAACTTTCAACTAGAAGATATAAGTCTTTTGTTCTGATGCTTCGTGTTTTCAACACCTTTAAGATAGAAATAAAATTTCTTTTATTTTCCTAGCAAAATATGAGAATATCATCTGCAATGAGGAGGTGAGAAATACAGGGTCATCCCTTCAAATACTGATACCTTGCAAATTATTCCTGCAGAGAAATCAGAGACCTGTAATAGACAGTGTTTGCTAATTTCTCCTAGCTGTGAACCTTTACCCTTTGATTTGTAATGTTGTAGTAGACAGTGTAATCTGGTAAAGAGAAAATTCTATTGATTGACTCAAAATGCATGTGTTTCAGGAATCTAACAAATCTATATGTTCCTTGTGTGTGCTTAATCCTGTGGAGAAGTTCATGTTTGTGCAAATCTTTGATTGGAAAATGTTCAATTTCCTTATAATTTAGTCAAAACTATATTCCAAAATGAGCCTGTTCATGGTGTATCAATTACATTGCATGCATATTAATGTCTTAACCTGTACAAAAAAAGAAGAACCATTGCGTACCGTTCTTGCTGTGTGCAGAGAAGGTCCATGTGTGCCATCTTGCCCTGTACTGTTACGGCTTGTGTCTAAACTTTAAGCTCATACCACAATACAATTTTGTTTAGATGTTTACTATAATGTTCTATGCCTCTGAAAGTGTAGAATCCTCTTGGGGGGAGAGACTAGAAAACATGGCATCTTATGTCATTGTCTTGTGAGTGAGTTTTTGGAAGGGTTTTCGTCAGAAATTTATAAAATTATTCTTCTGGAATGCCACCTGTTTAACCCTGTCTATTTATTTCAGGGCTCATGGATTGTCAAACAAAGTGTTGGAAAGAAAGCATGCTTAGTGGGCCAAGCATTGGAAATTAATTATTTTCAAGGGATGAATTATATAGAGGTAGGTGCTTGACAATCAAAATATTATCTTTGTTATTATGTTGGATTTTGGCTTGTTGTTTATATTGGAGCTCTCTTGTGGCGACCCTTGGTAATTGGCAGACATATTGGGGTTTAATTCATAAAGTTACTATCAAAGCTCTGCAAATTGTTCTATCTATGTTTGTTTTTGACTTGATCTGAGCATGTTCATTAATCTTGAATCCCTTGATATCTAGACTTTGTTACTTGGAATGTGTCATCCTATCATCAATTATTAAGACTTAAAGCTGTAAAAATGTAAGACTTTAAGCTGGTCATCGGCTAGAAACTCCTTAACATCAGTGATTCAGTATATCTTTTGCAATTATGGGATGTGAACAATTTAGACTATTTTTGCTTTCAGTCATTTGGATCACATTGGTGGGAGTTTTTACGAGGCTGTGTTTTTTTAAAGTGGAGCCCTGACTATTTTTTTCTGCAATCCTTGCAGCTTGGAATTGATATTGGTTCATCATCAGTGGCAAGAGGAGTAGTTAGTCTTGTTCTTGGCTACCTTAACAACTTGGTTATTGAAATGGCATTCTTGATTCAGGTACAACTTGGTTATATACGCTTTTGCATAACATTAGGGGAGAAGGAACTTATCTTTTTCAAATTATTAAACTAATTGGAAGTTATATACGAAGTAATACATTTAGAATGTGGCTTGTATTTACAGTCTGAGTTCAGATTTTACGACTTTATGTCTTTATCATTTTATTGAAAAATGTTGTGTCTTGATTAATTTATCAATTACTATGGAACACTAAACTGGAAATGGAAGCATTTATAAATTGTTGATTTTCTGTAAACTGTTGTTTGTAGGCTGATACAGATGAAGAGCTCCCTGAACAACTTCTTGGAACCTGTCGTCTCAACCATGTAGATGCTTCTAAAGCGGTTCAAGTAACATAATAAAATCAGAATCAGGATTTTGTTCATTTACTTATCCGATGAGGTGCCTTATTATCTTGAAATTGAAGCATTTGGTGTTCTTCATTGTCTACGATGAGGCTACCCTGATGAAGTGAAAATTTGATTTTAAACCAAAAATTTTCACATGTATATCCTAGTTCTTTGATGTACATAACTGATTTGTTGGGTTTTACTAATTTATAGTGGATAGTTAATTCTTTGTTGTCTTATAGGGTATACTATGTAGTATAGGATCTTACTATCTTAGCAAAGAAAAAGGTCTAGCTGTAGTGAATTGGACATCCTGTATCAACTGAAATCTCATCCTCTCTACCAAAAGCCATTCAATTGTGCCTCAAAAATTTGTATTGGATTATATGTAGTATTTTATTTTATATACCTTAGGGTTTGTTTGGCATTATTTTTTGTTTTTTGTTTTTTGTTTTCTGTTTTTCTAAAAACCAAAAACTAAAAACAAGAAACAAGAAAAAGTTGTTTCCACTTTTCAGTTATCAGTTTTCAAAATTATCATGATTTTAATAAGTTTAAATATTTTTTTATTCATTATGTGACATACTACCTCTGGTCCAAATTACTCGCAACTTTTGAATATTTTATATCTCACAAATAATACCCCAAAGTTGCGAGTAATTTGGACTGGAGGTAGTATAATATACTTTTAAAAAACAAAAAACCAAAAAACAGAAAACCACAGCGATGTCAAACGAACCCTTAGTTTCAATGTTCTTAACAGGGCCGGTGATGAGGTTGTGCAACCAGCCCCACCGCACAGGGCCACCAAACTAAAAGGGCCCCAAAATCCAATTGACTCTATATCATATTGGCTGCATCAAAGTATCATAAAATTTAGTGTAGCGTAGTGGGGCAAATTTTAAGATGCACCATGGTGCACCTATTTCTAGGTGCACCACGCCTATACTTTTGAACAATCAGTAAAAAAATCTGAACAATTGCAAATTTTGAACATGTAGTAAAAACATATGTGAACATCGCAAACTTTGAACATTTAGTTAAAAAATCTAAACAATTGCAATGCAGCATGCCTATACTTTTGAACATTTAGTAAAAGAAATCTGAACAATCAAGAATTTTGAATACTTAGTTAAAAAATCTGAACATCACAATTTTGAACATTTAGTAAAAAAATTTGAAAAATCGCAATGCATCACGCCTATAATTTTGAACTTTTAGTGAAAAAATATGAACAATAATTTTTTTTGAACATTTAGTAAAAAAAATCTAAACAATCGCAAATTTGTAATTATTACAAGTCTGACAAATTTTGAACTGACTCGTAATAATTCAATAGTTTTGTGGAGTAATATAAACTGAACATTTAAGGTATACAAAATGAACATTTCTTGATAAAATATGAACATAAAAATTGCATATTTATGTTCAATTTTTGTGACGTGTTCATATTCTTTTTATTAAATGTTCATTTTTTGTAAAATGTTCAATTTTTTTTTAATAAATGTTCAAAAGTATAGTCGTGGTGCACTTATTTCTAGGTGCACCATGGTGCACATAATACTAATTAGCGTAGTGGTAGAGTAGCACGATCTAACAATGGGTATCACTCAGCTAGAGAACCAAGGTTTGAATCTCTTGGGATTCATTTTTTTTAGTCCAAGGTCCTTTTTTGTGTTTAGTTCTAACTTTTATGTCTTTAGTAACTTTTTATGTTCTGCGTGCTTAGCACCTCACTAAAGCTTAATGTCTTATTTCCAATTAATCATCTGAGGTCTGAATGTCTATTTTTTTTAAGAACTGATTCAAATCTTGATACGTAGTATTTTTTGTCTTTCATAAATTAACTATATCTCCTATCAAATTAAAATTCATCTTCCTTTCACTTGTTGCTATGTGTATAAAAATTCACCATTATCCTTAATGGTAAAACACAGGGCCGGTGATGAGGCTGTGCAACCAACCCCACCGCACAGGGCCCCCAAACTAAAAGGGCCCCAAAATTCAATTTACTTTATATCATATTGGATGCATTAAAGTACCATAAAATTTTAGTGTAGCGTAGTGGTAGAGCGGCACGACCCAACAATGGGTATCACTCAGCTAGAGAACCAAGGTTTGAATCTCTTGGGATTCATTTTTTTTAGTCCAAGGTCCTTTTTTGTGTTTAGTTCTAACTTTTAAGTCTTTAGTAACTTTTTATGTTCTACGTGCTTAGCACCCCACTAAAGCTTAATATCTTAGTTCCAATTAATTTTCTAAAGTCTGAATGTCTATTTATTTTTATTTTTTTTAAGAACTGATTCAAGTCTTGATACGTAGTAATTTTTGTCTTTTATAAATTAACTATATCTCCTATCAAATTAAAATTCATCCTCCTTTCACTTGTTGCTATGTGTATAAAAATTCACCATTATCCTTAATAGTAAAACATTTCACAATTTATATCACATACGGTATAATTATTTATATTAGCTTCCTCCTTCAAAACTAAAACTTGATATATTATTTTATACTTAATCGTAATTTGTTAGCTTCTTATTTAGTTTTCCACAAGTGAAAATTGTACTTTACCTTACAAGGAGAAAAAAAATAATGTTGGGCCTATTTTTTAAAATTAGCACAGGGCCCCTAAAATATATGGGACGGCCCTGGTTCTTAACATTTGCTATTTACACAAGAATTCTGTGTAAAGTGTCTAATGATAGGCCTTGTAAATGGGCACACTTACATCCAAATATATTCAATCAAGATTAGTGTTTTTATTTTTTACATTATGTATTGACATATAGAATTTTTTTTTTTTTTTTTTTTGGCAAGGTGCAAGGTTTTAGTTTATATTTCTTTGTCTATTATTTTATTATTTATGAGTAGTTTTGCGGAAAAAAAAAATTATTATTTGTTAATAGTCCAACTATTACTTTTGCAAAACATTATCAATTACTTCGACAATTAACTTTTTCTCGCTACTTTACAACTTGTTTTTACCCAATGCTAGTTAAAGCTAATCGCTACTCAATAGGTAAAAGTACTCAATATTGCTAACTAGGTTAAAATCCCGTGCAACATGGTTGTTAAATATTTTTGACAACAATATGGCAAAATATAAAGTACATAAAAGATATGCAGAAATATTTCATTTGGGTATATATGGAATATGATTGTCAAATTGGAAAGAAAATATTATAAGGTATGAATAGTTTACTTAAAGATTTTGCACAAAAATTAAATAAATAAATAAAGAAATTCACAAGGTAATGACAAGTGTGATTGGTTATGCGCTGTTAGTATAAGTTAATGGATAAATTTTGCCAAACATAGCCTTAATACAAGTAACCTCTTAATTTGGCGGCCTCTAGTAAAACTTAATTCATTAGAATCTACATGGCGACCTCTAGGTTTTGTCGTATCTATTTTGTGGAAAAAAATTGACACAATAACCTCTTAATTTGATTAACATGCGCCGTGTTGACCCCACCACCACCTAGCTGTTACCACCTCCAACCCAATACTGCCTAACCCCACCTACCTACCCTTAAAACCACCCTACTTACCAAAAACCACCCAACTCCGCCTCAAACCCACCCCACCACTGCACAACCCTAAGGTTCGAACCACCTCCCCAATTTGAAACAACCTAATCACCTAAGAATTACCCACCCCCCATTCGAAAACTACCCACCTGAAAACACTTGAATAGTATAGGGGTGGGTGATTTTGAATTGGGATGAGTTCGAAGTGAATTAGGTGGTTTTGGGGTGGGTGAGGTGGTTTTGAGGAGAATTCGAGGCGGGTTGGGTGTGAGGGAGAATCGGATTGTTTTTAGAGTGGTTGTAGGGTGATTAGCTAGGGTTAGAGGTGGTGGCTATTGGGTGGCAACGTGGTGGTGCTTTTGGTGGCTAATCTAGTAAGATTAGGTGGGTGATATGGTGTTAATTAGCGGTAAGTTAATTAGTAAATTTTAGATTAAGGTTAAAAAAAATTAACTATTTAATTCTATGACTTCGAACCAATCCCACATCAAAAATAATAATTCTCTTGTAAGAATACTTAGGTTCAAAAACCTTTTACAAATAAGTGCATGAAAGTATTATAGATATCAAAGATTCTTTGTCTTTTAATATTCTAGCACGTTGGAATTCAACCTAAATGTTTGAAAATACACATTGTAGAAATGTGGACAAGTCTTGCTTACTTGCGCCCTCAACCATTGGCGAAGCCAGAGCTGTCCCCCCTACTTCCCAAAAATAAAATCAGCTATATATATTATTGTGAAGGATATTAAGAGATACAAAGTGGATGATGTTGTGGTTAGTGGAGTGGAATTTTTTACAAGAAACCAGAGTTTGAACCTTATTGTTGTATTCTTTTCGCTTTTTTTTTTTTTTTTTTTTTTTGGTAAATGAAGAATCCTTTTATTTTATTTATTAACAAGTTTTAATTTATTTACATAATTGTGATTGTAATATTGCATGAACAAAACTCCTAAATTACGATTGTCATTGAACCTTGGTGCAGTATTTCCATTCTTTTTTTAAAAAAAATGTTTTAAGAAGCATTCCTTCTATTTTTTAATTAACATATATAATAATAATAATAATAATAATAATAATAATAATAATGATGATGATGATGATGATGATGATTTTGCATGAACAAAACCCCCTAAATTACGTTTGTTATAGGTAATTATAAATTATGACTACTTCCTCCGTATTTTAATAAGTGTTATAGTTTGACCAAACACGCATGTCGAGACATGACTTTAACCATTAATTAATCTAATTATATGTTAGTAAAATCATAGGAAATTTTATACTTCGTACTACATAGTATGAAAGTATACATTATAACGAATCCAACAATGTCTAATACAACAACATTTGTCTGTTATATATTACTCCTTCCGTTTTTAGATACTCCATTTCTCCATGACACGTATGCCGATACTAATCTTTTATCAATAATATCTTTGATTATCGATAAATATAAATTCTAAAAATTAAAAATTATTAATCTATTCATTGAGACGATTCAAATAAGTAATCAAAAGAATATAAATGTATAAATGAATAGTGCAAAAAATAAAAATGGAGCAAGTATTTAAAAACGGAGGAAGTAGTAAAATAATCAAGCCAAAATCATATGTGAATAGTGAAAAAAGTCAAACTGTAACACTTATTAAAACACGGAGAGAGTATTGCATTTAATAACATATACTATCTAATGTTCAAATTTTTCAAAAATTTAGAACTCATAAGCTAGCGATTATTTTTGGAGGAAAATTTGATATATGATGTTGAATTTTTATTAGGAAAAATTGTCAAAAATAAAATGACTTTTAGGCGGTCTTCCAAAAATAAAATGACCTTTTGATTATTCCAAAATAAAACGACTTTTGATAGACATCTGCTCAAAATAGAATAAAAAACTGGAAACCTGTTTAAAAGGTTAGACCTGAACATGTGTCATAATGTAAGAGGTTGGGATTATTTTTACATTTTTCTTTTTAATAAAATTGATTTTTAATTAAAAAAAAAAAAGAATTCTTTCTCTTTAATTTCCTCCCCTCCCCCGAAATGTCATCCATCTTCTTCCCGCAACCCACCGCAGCCAACACAACCACGACCCCCTCACAATCTATTTTCCCTTAGCCACCCCTTAACCACCCGCAACCATAAAAGCCACCCCACAACTGCCTTAAAACCGACCCAAAACCACTCTATCCTCCTTAAAACCACCCCACAATCCCCCTCATCCACACCACACACCCCGAAACAACCCCCTTAACCAAGCCCATAAACCTCTAATCGTTGAATCCCTCGCTAAAAGAGCTGAGGGTGTCTTTATTTTGAGCGGGTTTATAGTTGGGTTTCTAGCAGTTTACAAGGTGAATTTTAAATGTGGTGTTTATGGGTGGTTTCGAGCGGCTGGGGGAATTGATGGTGCGACAATGTTGGTGAAGGTGAAGGGTGGAATAGGGGTTGCCGACATGGACAACGATGGGGGTTAAGTTTGGTCCGGAAACTGTTGGGTTAATCTCCCCAAATCACAATCAAGTAAGTATTATTATTAGTCGTAATAATAATAGTAGTGTAAGAAAGAAGAAGAAAAAAAAGGAGAATGCATGTCTGTAGTTGGACGGTGGAGTGGAGCAGTAGTAAACTAAGGGACTTGAAAGTCCAATTGTACTATGGTTGTGGGCTTGTGGCAGAAGGTTTTAAAAGCAAACCTTGACTTTGTTTACTTGCATTTATTTGGCAAGTTGGTGGAAGTTCAAGGGTTGAAGAGGAGGCTTGCTTGATATTTTGCTATATAATGTAGCCATGTATCGTGAGTTGGGGTAGCAAGATAAAGCAGAAGCATACTAGCAAAAGAAGTGTTCCGGGTAAATTCTAATACCGTTATCTCTTGGGGCCAGTAAAGGTTTACCGTCCAATTCCGCGCCTGCACAGTCAACACAGATTAACTAGCCCGAGGGGTTATCCGGGAATAACCGCTCCGATGTTAAAGTTAGTGACCTGGAGAAGAGGAAATGAAGAAAGAGAAAGTAATTATGTAGAGAGAGAGAGAGAAAAGATCATGCCTTAATATGAGAATAAACTTGGGTATATATAGGGAAGGAACCAAGCAGGTGACACCTTATGACGTTAGGTGGCAAACCGACTTTAAACGCAGCAGGTGCCAACGTGGCCGGGAGCAGCTCTCCACGTGGCCGAGGGGAGAGTCGTTAAGGATTATTGAGTTCAACAGAATAGGCATGGGCAAGATTTTAACTTTCGGCCTATTTACCTTTCTATCGGCATTATCCCGTACAACTAGCCCCCCAAGTGAGGACATTGGGAACACCGATGTTCTCACTTCTGTATATAACAAACGAGATGAAGCATATAAATTTAAGAAATCTCCAATTTGCCCCCAAAGTGAGCGAAGTACCGATAATACTTTGCTCAATTGAAGCAAATGAAACATAAAAAAGATTAGAATTAAAAAATCTCCGATTTGCCCTTACAGTGAGCGAAGTACCGATAGTACTTTGCTCAATTGAAGCAAATGAAACATAAAAAAGATTAGAGCTAAAAAATCTCCGATTTGCCCCTACATTGAGCGAAGTACCGATAGTACTTTGCTCAATTGAAGCAAATGAAACATAAAAAAGATTAGAATTAAAAAATCTCCGATTTGCCCCTACAGTGAGCAAAGTACCGATAGTACTTTGCTCAATTGAAGCAAATGAAACATAAAAAAGATTAGAATTAAAAAATCTCCGATTTGCCCCTACAGTGAGCGAAGTACCGATAGTACTTTGGATGTAATAAACATATATGATAAAATATTATTATTATAGTGTGTATAAATTTTTATTTATTCACTTAAAAACGTATCACCTCACAGGTGATGGTACAAGTGGAAATTGGAGGGAAATTTCTCAAGGGTTTAGTGGGACACGTGCTGTGAATATAGAGAGGTGAGTGGTGACGCGTCCGAATTAGAACCGTAAGATGTCATGCAACCATGTCACATCAAAAGGCGCATGTTTTCGGGCATATACATATGTATATATAAATAAAAAGAAAACGAACAGTTTCTTTGTTATTCCACTTTGGTTTTTCAAAAAATTTTAAAAAATTTCAAAAAAAATCGCAAAGTAGCACAATTTCAGTGTGTATTTTCTTTGTTCTTAATTCTCCTCAAAGTATATTACTCTCGAATTTGCAGAAGCGCTCATCAAATTTAACGCGTGAAGGGCTGCAGTAATTGATAGCTCGCCCTTCCTTTAGAGGTAATAAATTTTAACTATTGTCCTGCGTATTTTGTTTTCATTGTTGGAGTGCCTTGTGTGCGTATATAGCGTTTGTTTATTTGTTTTTCTTCTTCTTCTTTTTTTTTTGTTGTTTTATTTTGGTGCTGTGTGTGTTATAGATAATTATGTCTGAATCTGTAGAGGGCTATATTGCGGGCAAAGCCATTGTGGCTGACCCGTTTATGCACTTGTCCTCAGCGCCAGAAAAGCAGGCTGAGAAGTTCTCTCGGTGCATTAGTACGTGTTTTTTAGAAGACGTTGATATTATCGGGGTTGAATCCATCAGCGTTGTCAGTCAGAGCAGTTCAGAGATTGCCATTAACGAGTACGGTACCAATTTCTGCAAAATAAGCATTAACAAACTTGAAATGCCGAGATCTAAGTTCCCCAACATCAGTTCTGATCAAGCCGAGAGCTCCCTTAGACGTCCTGGTAAAGATCCAGTTGAAGATCCGGATACTCAAGAGTCCGATATCCGGGAAGAAGACATTGAGTCTGTTGAACGGAGTCTCGAGTCGGGTAGAGAAGAAGACGAGGAAGAAGTCGACGGAGAAGAAGAGCAAGAGGGTGAAGAAGTAGAAGAAGAAGAAGAAGAAGAAGAAGAGCAGGAACTTAGCCTTAGCAGTGAGGACACTGATGAAGAAATCCTCAAGGATATTAATATCGGTGAACAAGTAACTACTGAAGAGCGTGTTGATGAAGGTTACAATTCTGAAGACGACGATGCTATCTACCGACAACCGCTGCAGCTTTCTGACACAACCAAGGTTGTGTAGGTCAAAGTCGATTCTGTTTGGCTGAAAACCTCTGCCGAGAAGAACTACTGCAATGTCGGCAGACGGTTCTATCGGCTTCCTGATGATTATGCTTTAACCCTTCCTAAATCAGGTGATATTGTTATTGATTTCCCTGAGGGGCATATTGTTGTGTATGCCAAGCATTTTGAGTTTGGTCTTCGTTTTCCACTTCACCCTTTTGTTGAAAAAATATTTAAAGCTTGGAATGTATGTATTGCTCAATTGACACCGACAACAATTCGTAATGTCATATCATTAGTGTGGGTTATGATATATATGGATTTTCCTCAAACTTTGAATCTGATCCGCAAACTCCATTGGCTGAAAAAAGACAGTCAGTCTTTAGATTGGTGGTCTTTATACACTGTTAACGGCAAGGTCATAGTGTGGCCGAAACTGACTAGCTGCAAAAAGTGGCAGGGACAATTTTATTTTGTGAAAGTTCCTGATACCTTCTCTGTAAGAAGGACTTTTCATCTGCCTCATACTAGATTTGACACTATTAAAGATAGGAAATTAGGCCCACTTGAGCGAAAAGCTTTTCGGTTTTTTGATTGCTTGTATGTAAATGATGGTAAGAAGATTAAAGCTGTACCTAGGGAGTGGCTGCCCAACTGTAATTATATCCTTGGCAACGCTCCCCTTTCTCATATCGGTCTCTGCTATACTGATGAATATGGTATGATTTAAGCAGTCATTTCATTTACCCAGCTCAAGTCTCGTATCGGTGATCTTGAGCAGAAATTACAGGCCGAGGGGGAGTTGAGAAAGAAGGCCGAGAATGATCTTGATTTGGCTCGCTTAGAATTGCCTGCTGTCAAGCGGCGGGCAGTTAATCAATTCCTCAAATCCGACTTTTACTGCCACAAGCTAATTGACCGCTATACTGGCGGCTGGGTTGCTGCGCACCGATGCGTATGCAAGGCAGATGAGTGGGATGAGGATAGATGGCAGGCCGTGGAAGATGCTTATGGTTCTGACCGACATCTCTCCCCTACCAGCTATGAGGAGTCATACTTTGATGATCCCCCCCAGCCTGGATACGATAAAGAATGCTGACCCTCGCGACCTTCCCGATGAGCAATTTGATGACATGGTTTTTACTACCCCACCTCATGACGGTGGTTTGGAGAAGGAGGCCGAGAAATCATAGGGTCTGAAGTGCTTTTGGCCGTCTTTTGCTGACTTTACTTTTGTTCAGAAAAACAATTTGATCTTGTTTCTGTAATAACTTTACATTATCTTTTCTTCTTATGTTTGATAATTTTAAACAATTTTTTGCTATGGACGAGAACTACTGATTTTGATGTGTAGTTCTTTTTATTGTCGGCAAGTATTTGCTGTATATTAACTATAATTTTTGACAAGTTCTGTTTCGCTTATCTTTTTAAGTCTTTAGCACTGCTTATTGTATGGTTTTTATCATTATTCCTTATGTACCGTATTTCCCCACTTTCACCGAGTTAACCGTGATACCATGGTAACTCGGGTGAAATTGATACCGTCATCAGACTTTTGCCAAATTTATGAGAATTTAACTAAGCCTCCCACCGTGTGAGAGCTTTTTACAATTAGCGACCTTAAATGGGCCGAGTAGCGGAAGTGGATCAGACAATCCGCTCAACTCGCCCAAGGTGCTTTAGTTATCCAACCATTCTGTTACTTGAATGAGTGTAACAGGTAGCTAGTCTGCGTACACTTACATATCGAAAGTAGACAGGTGGTTCCATATCGTTCCGCAAAATATCATATATATATATATATTCGATGGCCGACATCAGTGATGTACCATATTATAGTAGATAATGTTGAAATACTAAAACTTACAATTATTACAACTAAAAGTAGAAGTATTTAAACAAAGTACTTTTTAAGCACAGCCGCATTCCATACATTTTTTAATGGTCCTCCTTTGAGTGTCATAAGACGGTAAGAATCTTGTCTCAAAGTTTCGTATACTTGATATGGCCCTTCCCAATTTGCAGTGAGTTTGCCGTCAACGTTTCCTTTACCGGTTGCCGCTGTCCTTCGCAGCACAAGATCTCCATCTTCTAACGGCCTATAGTTGACACGCTTATTGTACGCCTTACACATTCGGTTTTTGTATGCTGCTGACCTGATCTCGGCCATAAGCCTTACCTCCGGTAAAAAATCTAGCTGTTGTCGTAACAACAGGTCATTTTGTTCCTCGCAGAAGTGCTGGACACGAAATGTGGGGAGTCCCACTTTTGCTGGGATAACCGCCTCGCAACCGAATGCAAGTTTATAGGGTGATTCTCCAGTTGTTTCCTTTGTCGTCGTTCTGTTTGCCCATAGCACTTCAGGTACAAGGTCCACCCACAAGCCTTTGGCGTCCTCTATTTTCTTTTTCAAAGCGTTTAAAATTTGTTTGTTAGCGGCCTCGGCTTGACCGTTAGACTGAGGATGACAAACTGCAGCATAGGCAAATTTTACTTTATATATGGCTAAAAATTTTTTAACAGGAGCGCAGTCGAACTGCGAACCGTGATAAAAAACCATTGCCCTTGGCAATCCAAACCTAGTAAAGATGTTTTTCCAAATTAACTTCTTTACTTCATTTGCCGTTATTTTTGCTAATGGCTCGGCTTCTATCCACTTTGTGAAGTAGTCTATTCCTACTATCAGAAACTTACGTCCTCCTGTAGCCGAGGTGAATGGGCCGACAATATCCATTCCCCATTGTGCAAATGGAACAGGGTTGAGGATAGGTGTTAAATCATTGGGGGGTTAATTTATTATCGGGCCATACTTCTGACACTTATCACATTTTTTGGCATAGGCCATTGTGTCTGCATTCATTGTTGGCCAGTAGTACCCCCTCTTCATTGCTTCTAACGACATTGATCGGCCGCCAGAGTGATTTCCGCAGTCGCCCTCGTGTATTTCTTCTATTAACCTCTCAGATTCATATGCCGTTAGGCATCTTCGTAAAGGTAGGGAAAAACCTCTTTTGTATAACATGCCTTGAAACATAACGAACCAGACACTATCTTTTTTGACCTTGTGCGCACCGTTTCTATCCGTCGGAAGTATGTTCTGTAACTTGTAAGCTAAAATATCATCATACCATTCACGGCTTCTTGTTACACAATTCACCTTTTTGATTACTCCTTTATCTATCCTTTTTTGATCCATGGTTTCTATCATTACCGTGCGCTCTAAGTCGTTAAGGCTTGAACTCGCCAGTTTCGCTAATGCATCTGCCTGGGTATTTTTAGCACGGGGTATTAGATTGATTTTGAAGTGATCTAGGGCCGTCACTATACTTTGTAGCTGAGCCAAGTAGGCTATCATCGTTGGTTCTCGGGCTTCATATTCGCCACTAAAATGACTGGCTACTAACTGCAAATCTGTGAATACCTCTATCTTCTTTGCCCCTGCTGCTATACATAGCTGAACCCCCGACAGCGCCGCTTCGTATTCGGCTTCATTATTAGAGGCCCTGAACTTGAACCTTATTGCGTATTCAAATACATCCCCAAGTGGAGACGTCATGATGATACCTGCCCCTGATCCAGTTGAGGCCGAAGAACCATCAACTGATACTTTCCATGTGCCGACTGCATCTTCTTCTTCGGTGTAGGAAGTTTCAACTATGAAGTCCGATAAGGCTTGGGCCTTGATTGACACTCTGGGTTTATAAATCAGCACATATTCTGACAGCTCAACTGCCCATTTCAGCAGACGACCTGAAGTTTCCATTTTCTGAAGAGACTTCTCTAGTGGTTGATTCGTCAAAACTTCGATGGTATGTGCGTCAAAATAGGGTCGCAGTTTTCTTGCCGCTATGACCACTGCATACGCAGTCTTTTCAATCAGTGGGTATCTTCGTTCTGCGGCATTCAGCACATGGCTAACAAAGTATATAGGCTTCTGTGTTTTCTGTCGTTCCACCAACAGTATTGCCGCTACCGTCTTCGGGGAAGCCGAGATGTAAAGCTGTAATGTCTCTCCTGTTTCTGGTCTAGCGATCGTTGGCAGTGATTGCAGATGGTTTTTAACGGCCTCCAGCTCCTTAACTTGCTCTTTCCCCCAGACAAAAGTCTTATTTTGACGGAGGATAACAAAGAACGGTGATGCTTTATCGGCCGACTTGCTGATGAACCTCGTCAACGCTGCCATTCGACCGGTTAACTTCTATATATCCTTAATGCACTTAGGCTGTGGGAGACTAAGGATAGCTTCAATTTTATCGGGATTCGCATCTATTCCCTTTTCACTGACCATGAACCCTAAGAATTTTCCAGACCTGACGCCAAATACACACTTTTCGGGGTTTAACTTCATTCGATATCGTCGCAGGGTGTCAAAGGTTTCCCTCAAGTCTGCTATATGCTCCGTGGCTAAACGGCTTTTTACGATTGAGTCATCCACGTACACTTCGACATTTCTTCCCTTTTGATTCGCAAAAACCTTGTCCACCAATTTCTGGTAAGTTGCCCCAGCATTTCGCAACCCAAAAGGCATTGCCTTATAACAAAAAACTCCGGCATCGGTGATGAATGCCGCTTTGTTCTGATCCGGCGGGTAGAGACTGACTTGGTGATATCCGGAAAAAGCATCCAAAAAACTCAGTAACGCATGGCCCAAGGTCGAGTCAACCAGGCGATCGATTCTCGGTAGGGGATAACAGTCCTTTGGGCAAGCTTTATTTAAATCTGTAAAATCTACACACATCCTCCACTTTCCTGATGGCTTCTTCACCATAACGACATTGGCCAACCATTCAGGGTATGTGCACGGTTTGATAAATCCTGCCGCTAGCAGTTTGTTAACTTCGGCCTGTATTGCTTCAATTTTTTCGGTAGAGAAGTTCCTTTTTTTCTGTCTTACTGGCCTAGCTCACCTATCCACGTTTAGCTTGTATACCATTATTTCTGGGTTAATCCCGGGCATTTCGTCGGCTGAGAAAGAAAAAACATCGGCATTCTCCCTTAGGAGTTCCATTAGGTGGCATTGCATCTCGGTATCCATATCAGATCCGTTTTTACTGTGCGGTTTAGCACCCCTGGTTGTAATTCTATTTCAACAGTTTCCCTTCCTAGCAATGGTCTAGGGACAGTTATGGGCCTTGTATCAAAGTTTGTCATTGCCAGGTCATGGGTCGGCGGGGACCGTTCCCTTTTCTGGTTACCTTGATTTCTCGGAGCTTGTCGGGCAGGCTGCTTTAATGCTGTTACATAGCATTCCCTTGCCATTGTCTGACTTCCTCTAATGCGTTATATCTTGCCGGCATTAGAGACATATACCATCGTAAGGTGATATGTGGAGACAATGGCTTGTATGTCATGAATTAACGGTCGGCCGACGATGGCATTGTATGCTGACGGCACATCGATAACTAAGAATTCGGTCATCAAATCCCGGGCCGCTGATCCTTCTCCGACTCGGGTTTGTAAAACTATGCTACCATCAGGTCTAACGGTGGAACCGTTAAAGCCAATAACCGGATATGACACTGGTGTAAGGTATTTCCGACCTATCATCATTGCATCAAATGCCCTTGCGAATAGGATATTCGCTGAGCTACCTCCATCTATACGCACACGCTTGATGTCACACCCGCTTATCGACAATATCAGCACTAACGGGTCATCGTGAGGAAAGACTACACCTTTGGCGTCAGCTTCGGAGAATGACACAGAAGGAATATTATTTGGCTGAGGTCGTTCATCTATTCCTAAAGCATTTACTATGTGCTTATACTCCGACAGACTCTTCTTTGCACCATTTACCGATCCTCCGTGCACCGGTCCTCCAGTAATCACCCCAATGGTGATTTTTCGTCCAGGGGGCGCAGAGCCCTGCCGATAAACCCTATTGTTGTCTTGCGGGTAGACGTCATCTTGCGCAGATGGGTTTTCCGATTTGCGGTATTCGGGCTGTCTTACCGGTTGATATCCCTGTCGGCTTGTACTTGTTTGCAACCGGTATTGGGATAGATGTCCTTTTCTAATAAGATCCCCGATGTTCTCCTTGAGTTGGATACATTCTTATGTGTAATGACCGACATTCTTGTGAAACATGCAGTACTTCTTCACATCTCGGCCTTTTGTTATCATTGGTGCTGGCCGACTCCAATCCTCCTTGTGTTGGTTTATAGAATAAATTGCTGCTCTGGGAGTATCATTATTGTACCGTCCTAGACCTCTAGTCGGTCTATTTGTTTTTTGCTGATTTTTCCTGTTGACCCCCCTGTAGCTCTCCGGCAATGACTGAGCATTGTGCCTCCGAGAGGGCTCCGCTAACGCTATTTGACTTCCTGCTCTTAGAAGTTCTTCGCTCTTTATGTAGTCATGCGCTTTGTTAAAGGCTGCGCCGAGATTGGGAAAAGATTTCCGTGCCATATACTTCTTGAAATCGCTGTCAGCCAAACCATTCATCAAGGCCATGACGACTATTTCCTGCTGTAACCGAGGTATGGTGTTGGCTTCATTATTGAAACGTCGAACGAAGTCCCTCAGTGACTCGTCCCTTTTCTGCTTGACGGACATAAGCTCTCCTGAAGTTCTTTACCTCGCACTATTGCTTATGTACTGACCCGTGAATAACTTGACTAGAGTATCAAAGCCATCTATGGATCCAGGTTCCAAATTAGTAAACCAATCTGACACTGCTCAGACCAGTGTTGTAGGAAAGACTTTGCACCATACCGCATCAATGTCAGTGTACAACAACATATGGCTCTCAAATGCTGCAATGTACCTTTTTGGATCACCCTTGTCGTCATACGTGCATGACGACATTTTAATCTTTTCCATTTGCTGGTCAAGAACCTCCTGCGCGAAGGGTGACGTCCTCGGTCGGACTATAGTGCGAATTACTCGCCTCGACGGCCCGCTGCTAGCCTCCTGCCGATATGACTCAGATTCACCCCTACTCACGGTGGCCGGTACTACTGTTTCAAGGGGTGGTGGTCGTGGGGTGCATTGCGGGTCAACTTGTCGGAACTGATCTTCAAGGTTAATGGCTACGGGCTTTGTCTGCCTATCCCGGGGTTTCGCGGCCGCTATCTCGGCCTCTTTTCTCTTCCGTGACATTGCTTGCATAACCCTAGCCGTTATCTCCAGCTCTTCTGGAGTGAACTCTCCTAAGGGATCAGGAGTTGTAGCTTGAATCCTTTCCGGCGTCTGTGGTATGCCCATAGCGTCCTTATGCAATAGGTGGGTCTCATCCTCCACTACTATCTCGGGCATATTGGTGTTTGGGGCGCCGCTATCATAATTTCGGTTTTCCCTTTCTGGTATCAACGTAGTTTCATTGTCTCCTTCCATGACTGCTGGAGGTCTTTTTGGACGATAGAAGTTATTACTATCCCCTCCTTCTAGCGCCAATTGTTCCGGGTAAATTCTAATACCGTTATCTCTTGGGGCCAGTAAAGGTTTACCGTCCAATTCCGCGCCTGCACAGTCAACACAGATTAACTAGCCCGGGGGGTTATCCGGGAATAACCGCTCCGATGCTAAAGTTAGTGACCTGGAGAAGAGGAAATGAAGAGAGAGAAAGTAATTATGTAGAGAGAGAGAGAGAGAGAAAAGATCATGCCTTAATATGAGAATAAACTTGGGTATATATAGGGAAGGAACCAAGCAGGTGCCACCTTATGACGTTAGGTGGCAAACCGACTTTAAACGCATCAGGTGCCAACGTGGCCGGGAGCAGCTCTCCACGTGGCCGAGGGGAGAGCCGTTAAGGATTATTGAGTTCAACAGAATAGGCATGGGCAAGATTTTAAGTTTCGGCCTATTTACCTTTCTATCGACATTATCCCGTACAAGAAGTAGTGCATAGCTATAGTAGTGAGGGAGGAAGTGATGGAGAGGCAAATACAATATTAGTGTGAGGGGTATTTTAGGATTAGAATAATTACCAACGTTAAAAGTACTTAGTGTAGACTATTCTAAAATACATTGTATCTAATATTGTAATTATAGTAGTGCTCATTGTACTCCCGAAATTATTGCTAGTAAAGTTGTTTTCGTCAGTGGAGATCCGTACCGTGGTTTTCCTCCTTATTGAGGAGGGGTTTTCCACAAAAATCTTGAGTGTTGTTTTCTTGTTGTTTCGTATTTATTATTCTTACCGATATTGTGTTTATCTGTTGCTCCGGTCCCAACAGAAACGACAATAGGGTGAGGTGCTGGATGTGGGATTGGGGTTTCGTAGGTTGGGGTTGGTACTTGGTATTTAGGGATTTTTTTTTTTTAGTTAAAATTATTTTTATTAATTAGAAAAATGTAAAAATATAAAAAAAAACATAAAAATACAGCTACTTATCTCATTGCGCCAAGTGTTACTATTAAATATTTAACAGGCTACCAACAGGTCATGTTCTATTTTGGGCGTATGTCTATCAAAGGTCATTTTATTTTGGAATAATCAAAAGGTCATTTTATTCTTAAAAGACCGCCTAAAGGTAATATTATTTTTGACAATTTTTCCTTTTTATTAAATACTCCGTATTTTGTTTTTTTTTTGAGTTGTACACGTTAACTATTGAACTTTCTATGTATTTAAGTATTGGTGTTTTTAGCTAAATATATTTGTCATAGTATGTAATATTCATCTGTCCCCCCGGTTTAAAATTTTTGGCTCTGCCACTGCCCTCAACAATTTAGATAACTAATTAATATATTATATAAAATAGTATTCCCTCCATTCCAAAAAGTTCGACACAGTTTGCATTTGCGCGATATACAATGTGCATATTTGACCAAGTTAGAAATTCAGATAATTTGCATAATTTAGAATCTAAAAAGATCTCACATGCTAATTTGTACTTAATTTTTATAATTTTTTTTAAAAAAGTGGTCAAAGTCATTTTAATTTGGCCATTTAACTTTTAATCCAAAATCAGATCAAATCCGATCATTAGAGAACTAATCATATTTTCCAAATTGGACAATATATTTGCTCAATCCCAATCAAATCTTATTTTAATTCAAAATCAGATCAAATCCAATCATTAACAACTAATCATAATTTCCAAATTCGACATTATTTTTGCTCAACCCCAATCAAATCTTAAAAACCCCATTCTTACAGAGTTGACATTGATTCACAATCCACTTCCCAAATTACCCTTCTCTTTCTTTAAACTAGTCCTCAGTTCCTCACCATAAGTCCACTCACCACCACCAACACCAACACCAACAACAATTAGAAGTGCGCTTATTTTCTCTCTCCTCTCTGTGTTGTTCCCGGCAAATTCCACTCGAAATCCGTATTTTTCGGGAACCAACACCACTTTCTTTGCTTTGGTCTGCTCATTTTCCCGACATTTTTTTCACCTTCACGAGATTTTGCCCTCCTATAATTTGCTTTCATGCTTTCCATGTTAACTATTATTGTATGATCTTACTTTTTTTTTTCTCCCCTTTTTAATTATTAGGGTTTTCATCTTTCACAATTCTTGCAGGATTAATTCTGGTAATTTCTACTTAAGATTTCTTTTAAATTTGATTAATTTGGATGATTTTGATATGAATTTGTAGTGTGTTACTGAAATTTGTCTAATTTTGTTGTTTCAGCAATTAAGTAGGTGTTCATTCTTCAAGTTTGATGGATTTTAATTCAAAATGGATTGTTCCGATTTTGATTATTGGATCAGGTACTTCTGTTTTTGCTTCATTTTCTGCTGTTCTTTGATTGCTTTGAATTTTCCCTTTAAATGCTATATTTTTATAGTGTTCTTGTAATTGGAGTAAGAGAGTTTTGGATTTTTTAGTGTACGAGAATATAAAATGTATTGATTTTGGAAACTCTTAAAACTTAGGCTACTTAGCAATTTAGCATGTGTCAGAAATGATAAGAAGTTGCTATCAAGAGAACAATTAACCTTGTCTTTGTAATGGCCGAGGGGAATTGATGGAAAACTCGGTTCATCCAGTACAGTGCACACTTGACTGCTTCACCCCAGAATGTCAATCCTTTTTTCTTGACTTTGTCGCCGGGTATTGGATGGGGCTATTGTTGAGATGGTAGGAATCTGATATGTAGATGAAACTTGAGGTTTTGTCGTCCTATTAATGTGGCGAGCAGTTTGTGTATCGTTGTTTTGTTATTTAAGTTTGTTTCTGTTGTTAATGTATTGTGTGCAATAGTGAAGCTTTATTGTTTCATGTATTTAGGTTTTGACTTTTGGATGAATATCGTCCTCTTCTCTTGTCAATCATTCAGTTTTTATGCTCGTAAATGCCTCTTCTGATGAAGATGACTACCAACGCTGTGAGATTGCTGTAAACAATTGGGCCGCTTCTCAACTTAGTCAAGAAGTTAAAGAAGATAAACATACGCTTCGTGATCTGTTGTTCTTCCTACATATACCAAGAACTGGAGGACGCACATATTTTCACTGGTAACTGAATTGTGTAGTAAAGTGTTGGAAGCTGCAATTTTTATTTTGGTTGAAAAAGGAACTTAGAACATTTGTTTGTTTGCAGTTTCTTGAAAAAGTTGTACTCCTCGAAGCTGGAATGTCCTCGTTCCTATGACAAATTGCGGTTCAATCCTAGGTATCAGTTTTTCCATTTTCCTTTGTTAGTCTATAATGTTTTTGTATACCATTTACCCCTTCCCCAGTTTGGCTGGCTCATCTCTTTTGTTATAAATGAATGGGTGAGGAGCCAAAGAGAGAGTATATGTAATACACTGGTGTCAATATCTCTTCAGGTACTGGTGGTAGAAGTTCAAGCATCATTTTCAATGTGTGTTGATGAATTTTGTGCAGCAACAGTAGATAACTTGTCTTACATTCTCCTTTTCTATTTGCGAAATGTTGTTATGGTCATCTGTTAGATTTGAGGTTCAATGGTTTTCGTTGTTGAAAATTTGAGTTGTGAATGTGTGATCATTTGGAGGTAGGATGATGTACACAGAAATATAATACTATATGGGTGTTCAAGTAGAATATCTTTTGATATTATAATATGTGATAGAAGATCCATTTAAATGTGCAAAAATAGAGAAGTAAAGATAGGTCCCATGCCACGCACTATAATTATAAAGGAACTTTCATGGAAAGGGAGCTCTAGCTTTCCATGTTCCTATAACATGGTACTACCATAGGATTAGAGCTTTTGGAGAGACTATGCTCTATTGCAACATCTATAAGGCCTTAATTAGGATGGAATCGAATTAACCTTGACCAATTTGCACGACAAAGTTGTTAACCCGCGCCGTTCCATCAACCGGCTGGTAATGCATCAAGCATTAACATCAATGCCTGAAAGGGTCTAATTGTGCAAAAGCAGAAAAGACAAGAAAGGTTCCCACCTGGAGCAGGTTGAGGGGTTGGAGGTTATCCTTGTGATAACAGAGAAGCTGCATATGCCAGACTCTTGATTTAATATGCCACATCCATAAGCTACTTCACAATGAATGAGAAGATTTACAATTTGAATAAGGTTGGTGCAAAATTTGAACCTGAGAGTTGTGGGTTATTTTATAGAGTATATGTATAAATTTCAGTGGTGTACAAAAAACTTACTGGAAGATTTTTACAAAGAGTAAGCATCAAACAAATGAATATAATAATGATTTCCTATGATGTCACTTTTAATCTTGTTTTTTTTTTTTCTTTCCTTTTTTTTTTTTTTTTTTTTTTGGTGCCAGATTTTTACTCCCTCCACTTTGCTGAAATGGCTACACATGCTTTGTTACAATTTTTAATGCACTTCATTGACCATTAATATTGTTAGTTACATATTTATTAAAAAAATGTAAGATTTGATATCTTAAATTACTCATTGCAATAAACCAAATAATACCTCTCATAGTCACATGATACATTATTGATGTTGGTATGAGTGGTAATATTTTGTCAAAGATATGTAATGATTTTGTTTTGAACTGGGCTTGAGTCCCCAGAGGATAAATAGACTCTTTGATTGATAGAAAAAACAGCAAAAAAAGTTAAAGCTTTGAACCTTTTCAGCAAACTGTAACCCCCCTTGATCTTCTACTTGTTCCTTGCATAAGTGTGAGCTTAGTGATGAATTTGGAAAAGATCTTTGGCAGGAAGTTGTAGCTTCGTTTAGGTATGTCCATGGATTACTCTTTGAGACTTCAACATTGTTGTTCTTCGTATATTTTGAAGAAAGTCCTTGGCTTACTGGTAGCTCTGTGTTTATCAAAGTCATGTCAACACGACTTGCTATGTTTTTTAAATAGCACTTTCAAATCTAAAAATATACTGTAATTAGAAAGTGTCATTCCCAATCCTACACCTCCCTTATCGTTCATTGTTGATGAATCTTGTAATTGTTGGAGCAAACTGTTCAAAATGATCAATCGTGTAATTTGTGTTGATTTGCTGCTCCTTTTGAAGATGCCTTTAATAGAAAGGACCTTATATATCTGGTTTATTTTGTAATTTATACTTTTTATACTAACTGCTCTCATTTTATTTTATTTATGTTTTCTTCAACCCAACTTTTTAGTTGTAAATATTGGTAGGAATCTCTTGCATTTTCCAATTTTGATGTACAAATTATGAATATCTTCTCTGTTTTTCTGCAGAAAAGCTCATTGCAGGTTGCTAGTCACTCATGATGATTATAGCATGATGACCAAGCTACCACATGATAAGACATCAGTGGTGACAATATTAAGAAACCCAGTTGATCGTGTATTCAGTACATATGAATTTTCAATTGAGGTAGCTGCTAGATTTTTGGTGCATCCTAACTTAACATCTGCCATGCAAATGGCTGGACGTTTGCGAAAGAAAAACAATGTGGTTAGCACGCTAGATATATGGCCATGGAAGTATTTGGTTCCATGGATGAGAGAAGACCTATTTTCTAGGGTATGGCTTACTGTTGTTTCTTCTTTTATTTTTATTAATTGGTGAAATTCATATGTATGGTGTCAAGATTTGTATAATTAATTTTGAGTTACCACGTTGCTTTGATTGCTTCTACTGCATTCATGTCATTTAGAGCTTGTAATTTGCATAGGGAGTTAAGGAATCTTGCTGGAAAGTTAATTTAATTAAAGACCACAAGTACAGTGCTCAATAAACGTTTCATCTAGAATGAATTTCATTCCCTTGCACTCTACAAGATTCATGTCTGAAAGGGAGAAAAATTCTTCTCTTATGCTTTGCTCCTTCTTTGGGCTGTCGTTACCCCTGAATATGTGGTAGTGATGGCAATACTAGAAATGCTACTCCAAATGATGCTATTATTGTGGTGGTGATACAGGTATTGATTGGCTATTACATTTACAATGGCACATGTGAGCCTTTGATGCTTTATTACCGGATCATCTTTTGGGATGTGTTCAAGGATGCCTCATAAACGATTTTTGGAATGCATTTAATTTTTGTTCCCCTTTTTTCTTTTCTGTCCGTGAAAAATAATAAGTAAAAACTTTCTTACTTAACCTATTTTGCTTAACTGGACTTGCTTTTGTTTAACTTAGTTTATCAATTTGCTTAACTTATTTTGGATGTTTTTATATTTAACTTAATTATCTTTGCTAATACTTATATAAATAAATTAGAGGAGAAAATAACCATAGTAAAAATCATTAATTTCTAAAATTACCTGTTTTAGTTGTACATTGATGTTTTGATTTGGTATATTATCTTCTCTTTAAGCTTTTATCATGCATATTCCCAATCATGCTGTAGTGTCCACTATGCCTGCCATGGCAACCACTTTTTAAATTTCACTATATTAGTATCTTGTTAGAAACATATAGTGCTTGGTTGGGCAAACATTTTTTTTTTTTTTTTTTTTTTTGGGGCATCTAAAGGGATGGAAAGCAATATTCCCAAAGGCAGAAATCAATTTCCTTTTGTAAGTAATTAACACATTTTCCACTCTTCTCCTTGTCTTTCTTATTCTCTCCTCTCATCCATCCTCTCCCTTTTACTTCCAGTTTACTTTTCTCCATAACTTTTCTGGTATGCTACCAAACAAAGGAAAGCTAGTTTCCAATAGTGCTTTCCTTTGAAAAATATCTTCCATGGAAACCATTTCCCATTGAACATGATCTCATGAAAACCAAATGGAGCTAAGGTAGGACTGGTGGACACTTAGACCATGTGACATGTTGATAATTCATGTATGTTTGCTTTTATATAATGATATTCGCACATTGTTACTCTCACTTTATCATTTTCTCTCCCTTACATTTTCTCAATTTATTTGTAGTTTGTGGTATGATTGCAACTAGACATATAAGTGCGTAAAGACTCAATTTATGGCAAAATTGGTGTAATCTCATATAGTATGTTTGAGAAGTTACTAAGTTTGTAGACTATGTATCCTTGTATGCATTCTTGGAAACTAGATCTTAGCGGTGGTCTTGATTTTTTATTTTTTATTTTTTATTTTTATTTTTGAAGTTAATGATATTGTTTTCAAATGCTTCATAAAGTTGGGATTTGTGCCTGATTGGGATCCTAGAATGTTTAGATTTAGATGCTCAACTAAAAATCTTGATATTATTTTTTGTTTACATGGACAGAGAGATGCTAGGGTGAGTCAGAATCTAAATCATGTTAGTAAAGACTCGTACAATATGGAAGACTTTGCTATGCCGCTGCTTCAATACATTAATGATCCAATTGCTTTGGATATCGTTCACAACGGGGCCACTTTTCAGGTATCTCTGCTTGGTTCTTCTTAATCAGCATTGTTCTTTTGTACAGTCGCTATGTTGCTCTTTAAAATTGTGATAGCTATAAGCCTCATTCTTTGATCTGATGGTTCATTGGATCAGAAGTGGTTCAGTTTGACTGGCTATGCTCATTTGCATCCATTTAATTAATTCTGAAAGACCATGCAATTCTATGGTATTTCAGGGTGCAATGATATCTTACTATTGTCAATTTTGGGATCTGCCTGTTCTTCTGACTTCATATTCTTGATGACATGTAGTTAAAATTTTCTCTACAACTGGCTGCAGGTTGCTGGACTAACAAATAATTCTAATTTAGCGGAGTCACATGAAGTGCGTATGTGTGTTCAGAAGTATCATTCTCTGGGGGATTCTGTGCTTGATGTGGCAAAGGTAGCATGATTTTCTCTGCTCTTGGATGTTTTGCTGACACATATACCAAGTTTGCACCTGGTGCAGCCTTAATGCTCCCTTTTTTTTTCTCTACAAGTGGCTGCAGGTTGCTGGACTAACAAATTATTCCTTCTTTTTTTTTTCCAAATCTTGCAGAGGAGGTTGGACAATATGTTATATGTTGGATTGACTGAAGACCACAAAGGATCTGCAACAACATTTGCACATGTAGTTGGTGCACAAGTCATTTCTCAGTTGGTAGGATCAAATTCTAGCATGGATCATCAAGCTAATAATATAACAGGTCAGCTGTACAGAAATTTTTGAAAGTTTTGATGAATATTTTATGATCAGAAGGTGGATTGGTTGTGGCAGGGGGTGCCTAGTTGGTAATCCTCTTAACCAGGACAATTAATCATCTAACCAACCATGAAAAGTTCATATTTTATACAAATATTCAAGTCAGTTCCTATACAATGTGCTTAACTGCTAAGAATCAACTGTGCTTAATCACCATTAATGGCAGAAAATAGGAAAAGGAAGATGATTTATTTTGTTTATTATTTTTATTAATAATAGGAAATTACAGTAAATATGTGGTATTTTTTATTTTCTACAGTTGGATTCTCTGCCAATTTAAGCTAACCCAAAATACTAATATTTCGTAAGCTAATCGCTGCCTAATCCTCTCTAATTATAGTATTATTCCTCTAACTAACTCATTTATCTTCCTCCTCAAGACTCTGTTAATTGAATTATATTGCACTACCTGATACTCCCTCCCATTTTCATAATGCTAAATTATATGCTTTGAATTAAATTAATTCATAGCATAATGCTAATTGCTCTAGGCAGTACAACTTTAATTTGGCCTCAAGTGATATAACAATGATGGCTAACGACTCTAGCTTCTAGTAATATTTGCTTGTCCCTCAAAAATATGAGACGTGAGGGCTTCCCAGATAGCTAGGATGACATTACATATCATCTTCCAACTTCAATGCTTCTGGCTTCTATAAGTCCTCTTCTACTCAATCTAATTTGTTTTTATCCCTGTTGCCATACTAGCATTATGCCTTTACATTCTCAGCTTTCTACCATAAACTTTAAGTGAGAGATGCTCTCAGAGTTGAATAATCTTTTAAGATTATGAACCTCATCTTTGTCCCTGTATAAATCCATGTTTCCTTGTGTTAATTCTGCTCTGCATCATAAACCAACAGAAGGAGCTATATCTAGGAATACTTAATTTTTACAATTTTAATTGGCCCACTAAACCTTGTCTTCACTACTCTATAGTAGTAACCACGAGCAGTGGTATAAGCCCCTTTATGATTAGCAAACCTGCAAGGAATCAGCCTTAACCTCCTCTACTATTCACTTTATGCACGTAAGAAAAAGGCGTCAAAATCAGTTAGCTCCACTTGAGCTCTTGAGCGCTATCAAGTAATTCAATTCTAGTTTGTTATGAAAGATTTTATCTGACTGTGCTCTGTTAGAAAGGAGTTTGTTATGGGTGTTAGGAGTTTCTGCTTTAAATTGAGGGATGCAATAATAAGGCATGCAGAATATTGATTGAAACTTTTATCTTGATTTTTTTTTTTTTTTTTTTTTTTTTTTTTTTTTTTTTTTTTTGTGGGAGAGAGCCGAGAGACCTTGCCTCTTGAAAGTAAGGACTTGTATTTTTTTTATTGCTTTAATCAATATACAGCCATCTATCTTAGTATTTCTCCCTAATTCCTGCTGTTCTCCTTGCCAGATTCTATCTGATTCCTACCAAAATCATCTGTTCATGCTGTTTATTATTTCTGCCCTCCCCAGTATTAGATCTGCAAACAAGATTGCAGTGATTGGGAGATATATGTTGTAGGAGGCTTTACCTTCCTATATAATCCCTCTGTCCCTTATTTAGTGGCCTATTTGATTTTTTTCACGGGGATTAAGAAAGTTGTAGATTCCTTAAAACTAATGATTGGGAATATAAATATGCATGTGGGGTTAGAGAGAGAGAAAAAAAATAGTTGGTAATTATTAAGGAAAAATTGCTGGTAGTAATCCCACCTTTGGGGCATCCGCAAAAAAATAATCCTACCTTTGGGATATTTTTAAATAGTCCGACCTTTATACTAAATCCGCTCAAAATGTTCCCAAGTGACTTGTAACCGGTTGAATAGGTAATTTTTTTTAATTAAGCCTAATCTACCCATGTCACAACGTTATTGGTAAAAAAAAAAACTTTTACTAATATATTTTTTACAGAAATAATTATTACTTTTTTTTTTTTTTTGAAGGAAATAAAGAAGTAATTATTACTAATTAAACTTAATTAACTTATTTAAAACTAAATTTTTTAAAACTAATTAAAAATTTAAAACAATCACCACCACCAACCCCAACCCCAGCCACCTCTCTGCCCCACCACTGATAGGTTGTCGTACACCTGTCAAAAATAAACTCCTAACAAAACCAACTAACAATGTAGTAGGGTAAGTAGGGTCGAATCCACAGGGAGATGGTATTCAATCTAACCTCTAAGAAATTGGAGAAACTAAACTATGTCATGAAATTGGGATAGAGAAGTAGTATAAATTAAAATAGGAATAAAACAATTAATAAAAAGACCTAGGGTTGTGGTTCACCATGCTTATAGTTCTAAATCTATCAAATATCAATAACAATTCAATCAATCAATTATCTAGAGCAATTGCTAAGCCTACGGTCGGGTCTTAACGCTCTCAATTCAACATATGTAGTTCGGTCGCTAACATAATCAGAATTGCTAATTGTAGGTAAGCCTCTAAAAGTAAGATCTTTCGATTCAAACTCTTATTAACATGAATTAATCATACAATTTATCAGGTTGCAAGATTAACAACAAAACACTATCAATTAGAGAAATCAATAATTAAAATATCAATAACATCAATCAAGATTCATAGTATAAACATGGATTCCCAAACCCTAGAAATAAACTACTCTAGCATGAAATAAATAATTAAAACTAAAACTAATAAAGAAAGCATAATCTAAAGTAAAGAAATAATATTACCTCTATAAATTAAAGTAACAAATTCAAGGACAAATCCATGGAGGAATCCATGGAGCTGTCCATGAAAAAACTAGGGCTAAAGAGAAAGCTAAAACGAACGTAAAATTAAAAAAAATATAAAAAGGCATAAGGGAAAAATAATATCCCTTGGAGTATTTATATTATCCTAAAACTAATCTAAAAATAATTAAAGAAAAGTAAAATATAAATTACACAAGTTGTCAAACGATTGGACGATAGAAGATGACGTGGCACGAAGATGCTCGATGGAATCGAGGGCCAAGCAAAAGACGTGCTACGATGCCCCTTGCTTGCTGCTTTCGTGGGTAAACTGGAGCTATAGCTCCCTGGTCGAGTGAGCTCTCGCTCGGGGCTGCTATTGCTCGAGGCCTATGCGAGCTACCTTGCGAGCTTTCGCTCGGGTCTACTGGGCAGTGTGTCAACTTCACAGGCTTGTACCTTCTGATTTATAGGTTGTATATAGGCGTGTGACTTACTGTTGGAAAGCTCTTCAAGTCTAGTTTCCAACGCAACTTGAATCACTTCAATCCAATTTGTATAACTCAAGTTATGATCAAAAGAGTGAGCAAAGGTAAGTTTTGCCACTTTGTAAAACATCGTTTTACTTCGTTTCTAGTTCAAATTCATTTCCGAAAGATGCATAGCAACCCTTGTGGATATTATATTCATTCCTTATGCATATAAATCTCAAAATAATATTGCACAAATATATATCCTTCATTGAACAACCTCGATTCATCGACTTTTTATCCTTTCATTGTCCTATTCAACTCCAAACACTACGAAAGCGTCCAAATGTCTATCAAATCACCTGAAACATTAAGAAAAACACAAACGGAGCGTAATAGAGTAAAAAATAAACAACTTATTTATTTACGACCTAAAAAGCAACAAAAGACCTAAAAGCTACTATAAACTTAGCATAAACGTGCCTATAAACTCTATATAAATATGACTCATCAACCACCAACCCAAACCGGTCGCCAGGCCGCTGACCGCAGCTCCCTCACGCTTGTCGCCGCCACTCCCCTACCCTATTTTGTCACATCCTCTTACCGAAATTAAGGCTGAGAAAAGGAGGGGGTCAAAATCGAGGCATGAGAAGGGTGGTGAAGGCCGAAATCCGGCCGAGGAGAAGGGGAGAAGGCCAAAAAAGTGCCAGAGGAGGGGGCGGAAGCTTGGTGGGGGAAGTGGGAGGTCGGGATTGGGACGGGGAAGGGTTTCGAATTGAAGGGGCTTGGTGGTTTAGGGGGAGGGGGCTGGGTCTGGACGAGAAAGGGATTTTCAGGAGAGGGGGTCTTGTCCGGCGCCGGCGGTGGTTGGGGCCTGAGTGGCCGAAGCCGAGGGGCGGGGGATTGGCAGCGGCGATGGCTTAGGCAGCTGGTGGCCTGGTGGGTGATTTTATTATTATTATCATATTTTATTTTCTTTAAAAAAATCCTAATTTTAAAAAAAATAAATTATTTTAATTTATTTTATTTGACCAATCACAGCCCGCCACGTATCATGTAACTTGTTATAACGGGTTACATGACCGGTGGTGACCGTTTTGTGCGGATTGAGTATAAAGGTCGGATTATTTAAAAATATCCCAAAGGTGGGATTATTCCCAGCAATTTTTCCAATTATTAAAGAGAGGGAGAGAGAAAGTGTTGGGAAATAATGTCAAAAGTACATAAAAATAAAAGAAAAATCATAACTCATCAAAAAGGGTGTAATTTGGTCAAAAAGTACACTCTTTAAATATAAATAGACCACTAATTTTGGCTTCCCAAAAATGGAATACAAGCTACTAAATAAGGTACAGAGGGAGTAGTATTTTTCTTGTTCATGGCATTAACATACATTTTAGGCTAGACAAAAACAGAAGGCTGGTAGACAACTCGAAGTAACACAACAGCAGATATTAGCTGCGGTGTAATCTGTAATAGAGGTGCATAGAGCCACAGCATCATTTGTGTATGTCTTCTCCATGAATTGTGGTCTAAGCATAATTAGGCTGACTTTGGCTCTTGATAATTACTTAGGTTCAGTTGTGTAACCCTTTTACATCTAAAGGGGAAGTGCCCAGAATGAAACCAGAGAGAGGCCAGAATTTTTATCATTAATTAATATGGTACTGGAATTTAACAAATAGAGGGCAGACTTAGTGACTAACTGTGATTGGCACACAGGCCAGAGGAAGCATAGAAAGTGGTAAAATCCTTGAGCATTAACATCATTGAAGGTATATCCCTTTGAGTACAGGATTTTAGTCGACTTATTAATAAATTGAGTTAGGTGTTGTGGTGTTATTACTGTTATATGGGACTGTATTAAGTGCTAAGTACTTTTTTTAAATTTGATTTTGGCATTTCGCAAACTCTTTTTTAATGAACCTCAAAAAGATGAAATTTCTCTTACCTCAGCTGCTAGGTGACTGATTCCCTGCCAACATGATCCTCTGGAGGAATGATGGGTTTACTCCATCAGAAAATGTTGGTTCCTTTATGAGCTTTTCAGTCACTAATTGCAAATTAAAAATATTAAAATTTGGGGAAAGTTTATCCTTTCACCATGCTCCAAGATATACATTTGAAACTGGATCTGGACTTCTGGAGCATATTTCCTATTCGATAGGAACCGATGGGTGGGGGAGTGTTGGGGGGGGGGGGGTGGGGGTGGGACAACACTCCAAAATTTTTAAAAGTTTCCCAGGGTTTTTGGATCTATTTCACCATTTGTTTTCTAAATCAATTGTGTTTTTTATTAGTATATTGTCACATTGTTTGGATTGAGAGAGTTGGAGGGAAAGGAAAGAAGAGAATAGAAAGGATTCATCTTCCCTTCTTTACCTTTTGGTAGTAGGGAAGGGAAGGGAAATGGAAGGATTCATTTTCCCTCCCTCTTTAATAAACTAAATCCTTCCAATGTTGGAGAAAATGTAACCTTATTTTCTCCCTTCCCTTCCATTCCTCCCCCTTCCTTCTTCTTCCCTCTTCCTTTTTTCTATGCAAACAAACTGACAGTGTCACTATGCTTTAAGATATATTTGAAACTGGATCTGGAGCATATTTACTGTCTCGATGTTTGTTTTCTAAATCAGCATATTTTTTTGGTACTGATAGTGTCACTATGCTCAATTCCAAGTTATTATTTACCTATTATGTAATATTAGGGGTTCTGATGCATCAAAAGGATTGATTCTGACACTTCAAAAATCTGCAGAACAAAGCTATTCACATGCAGCGTCTGAATCTCAACATGGTCAACACACGGTTAGTTGTGATACTGTTTTTAGTACTTCCATTTAAGAGCATATGCAATAGTTTTCTCGATTTGTCATGCTTCATGCTGCCTGCTCTACAGAGTATTTCTATTGATGAAAGCCCAAGCAACATACCAACTGCGGATGGAGAGTTTAGAAAAAGTGTAAGAATTATAAGATTGATCTCTTTGATAATCTGATTGTCCTAAATCATTTACATCCTATTTTCATCTTGAAGCATGTAACTTACGGTGTTTAAGCCATTTAGGAAATGACTGTTGGGAAACTTATGGAATCGTACGAATCGTGCATTGGTAATTTGCGGAAGTCGCAGTCACAACGGCGAATCACTTCTCTGAAAAGAATTTCCCCTGTGAATTATACAAAAGAGGTGTGTGACAGTTGTAATGTCATAACAAAGTTTGTTAATTGTGAGCATTTTGGGTTATGTTGTTCGAAGAATATTTTACTTGGGCAAAAAGTAGAGAGTGTTTTTGTTTTAAACTATCATTTTTGCAATCCTGTAGGATCCTAGGAAGATGAGTATTAACTGATGTTACTTTCAATTTTATATTGAGCAATCATATTTTGTAGATTACCAATGTGGGTATTAGACAGTAGGTGTTCACTGACACTCTGGAGTCTTACATTACAGGCACGCCGTCAGGTGCCAGAATCAGTTATTGAGCAGATAATTTCACTGAATAGACTTGATATGGAGCTTTACAAGTATGCTAAAAAACTCTTTGCCGGGCAACATGAGCAGACAGTGCAAAAATTGGTGAGTGCTGTAATCTGAGCCTCTTATTCTCTAAATTATAAAATTTTGCTCAAGAATACTAATTCGAAGAAACACAATCATGTTGCCTTTATCCGTTTTTGAAATTTGTTATTTTCAGTCAGTTAGAACCAATGCTTTTCCAAAATGGTCAAGGTGTGAATTTCCACGTCTTCTAATATTTGCCTTATTCTTTTTTATGCCCAATCCTTAATTTCATTCTCTGGCGAGCTGCCATTTGCTTCTGATAGTTCTTGCCTTTGCTTAAGCATTTTCTTAATAGTCTCAGCTCCTCCATCATCCTATGGCCTTTGGACTTCGAAGTAATCTAATGATGTTGATTGACACCTTTAATGACTATTCAAAAGCTCTTTGATTTTCTTTTTTTGTTCTAGGAAATTTAAGAGCAGTCCTTTTTTTACTTGAGCAAAAGGCGGTTTGACTGTTGATTTGTAGATCAGCATTTCTACCCTCTGATAAACTTCACTTTGTTGACAAATATATTGATATCGGTGACTCATTGGTTAAGTTGTTGCATGAATGCATTTAAATAATCCGTATGAGTTTTGTTACTGTAAGCTTTGTTAGTTGCAAGTTTGAAATAACCATACCCTGTTGTCACAAAATGTAGCTCAAGTTGCAGGAAAGACAAAACGGCATCCTGATGAACTCATTTACGGCTCCACCCTGGGAAAATATCTCTTTAATCATGGCTGTCGTTTTGGTGATTGTTGCTATATCAGTATTTGTAAATGCTAGAAGAAGAATGTCTAAAGTTAAGATATGATAGAACCTGAACATAGACAGATTTTTATAAAGGTTTATAGAGAAATGAATGGCTGCCATCCTACAATGCATCACCTGATCAAATCGCTTGACATGTGCTGGGGATTTGTCTATTTTGAAGGGACGGCAATTATGAACAATACTATTGATTTGCACAGCAACTGAAACTATAGTTGTTCAGGTGGTCTTGATCCTGACTGCTCAATTTTTTTGCCATTTTGTCACTGCAAATACAAGGAAGGATATCTCTGCGGCTAACGCTGGCAAAGTCTTTTCTTCTCAAAATCTATTAAAGATATTTCAAGAATACCGGGTTAAGACAATAGAGTTTCTTCGTTTGTCTATAGAATTTGGCAGCCATTTTTAATGGTAGAGTACTTTTCTCTCGTTTAGATGATATGCAGTTAATTGCATTGAACATAAAAAAAATGTACTGTATTATTCTACATGTATAACAATTTTTCGGTAAAGACTAGAATAGACCCGGTCTACAATAACTTATTGTAGACCCAACCTTCTAGTATACTATACGAATGTGATTATATCATACGAAATGAGATTATATTACTACAAAAGTGATTATATCATCCTTTAGGTAAATGTATCACTTAAAAAGTGAATTTATCATAATATGAGATTATATAATTCAAAATATGACTCACAAAAAGATAATTATATCGTCTAAAAAAGTGATTATATCATTCAATGTGATTATATTATTTGAAAGTATCAAATTTTGGATCTATAATAATTTATTGTAAATCGAGTTTAGTAATCCTTCAAGTAAACCCGTAATCCCCAAATAACCCCGTAACCCCTAAAGTAACCTCGTAACCCCTCAACTCATCTAGTAACCCCTGACCTAGTAACCCATGACAAAAGTAACCCCTGACCGACCTGGTAACCCCTGACTTAGTAACCCCTAACCAGATCTAGTAACCCCTAACCTAACCACCAATTCCACTGCTAAAGCGGCCACCAAACCACCAATTCCAACCACCACAACAATCAGAGGCCTATTAATATCTAAGTTTCCGTAACCTTAGAGGCCTATTAATATCTAAGTTTCCATAACCTTAGAGGCCTTAATCCTTTCACGAAAAATTACAGTAACACAGAAATAAGAAAGTTTCAAGAAATAAGTTCTTCAATTGGAGTATTTTGGACCCTGAGCACGAATCAAAGTATCACTACAGTGAAAATAAGAAAGAAGCAACATTAGCTAAGTACCAAGTCACCAATAATGCGAATGAATCAATTGAAAATGGGAATGAAATTAATTAATTTGTATGTGAATTTGTTGAAATTTAGGGGAAATGTTAGGGTTTGAAGCTTCGAAATTTAGAGGTGGAGATCTGGGCTGGTTTGATTGACAACGTCGAAGACGAAGACAGTGACAAAGATGGTGCTCCGACCATTGACGGTTAGAGAAAGCTAGAATGAGAAAATGAGAGGAGATAGAAAATATAAATAAATAAATAAATAATTAAATAAATAAATGTGGTTCGCCGCACAGTGTGCCAGCCACATATGAAAGTTGGTGTTCAGAAAATATGTCATTATTTTTAATTTTTTGCAAAACAAAAAAAATTAAATAAATAAAAAAGCACTGAGAATTGTCTAAAAGCAAATTGGAAAAAAAATACTGCATTTTTTTTTCTAAGTACCCACAAGTGCTAGTCATAATCGATCAATATACGTGTATAACAAGTGATGTCGAATAATCATTTTGAATTATGAAGTTCTATTTACGTCCATTAATATGGTGAATTGATTATTTTAGGTGATAGATTATGCATGTCATTAGTAGGTGACACATTACAGTATTACACATATGTAAGATGGTCGGAATTTTTGTAGTGGACGAGGTGAGATTATGGGTGGTTTGATAACTTAAAAATGGAATTTAGTTCAGAAACTTAACAAATCCACAGTAAATATTAAGTAGGAATACATATCAATATTGTAATTTAAAAAATTAAGTAGAGATATACCTAGCAAATTTTACAAAACAACTCCTAGCATATTTTACAAATCCTCAATACATATTAAGTAGGGATACCTATCAACATTGTAGTTTAGAAAATTAAGTAGGATACCTAGCAAATTCTACATAAACAGAAATTCACAAATCACAACATTACCAAATTTTATAATTTGGTTAAGCAGTAGCTCAAATTCACAACATCAGCATATTATAATACGAAGTATTTAAGCAGGTATGACAGGAAAGGGAAATCAGAGGCAAAGTAACAATAAGGAGTATTGAATTGATTACAAGTTTCAGACAATCACATGTCTTGGAATGTATTTGACATATTTGACAATCACAAATTATCTAGAATGCTTTGGCAATTTATTTGTTAACCAAATGCAATCGGAAACCATTTATACTATTGGTTATACAATCAGTAAAGAGCAACACATTCGTACTCGACAGCTCCATCAGCCTGCATTAAGAATACCGAAAACATGAGCCATCTACTCAGCGTTATAAGATAGCCAAGTATTAATAAAAGTGAATTCAGAGTTTATAATCTTATTAGTGTTCAGATTCTTTCCAAATATGAAACAGTAATGAATGATTGTCCCAACTAACCCAAAAACTCTCTCCTTTTAGCCCCCATAATCTCCAACAAGTCCCCCGGATTTACAAAAATAACCCGCGCAATCACCAAAAGTCCCTATCAGATGGAGGTAGCCCTCTCACTTAAATAACTCTACTCAAAGAACCTCGGGTTAACACCATAAGATGCCACCTTTAGCCACTCCTCCCGAAGATGTTCCTGTTAGCTAATTAGTTTCACATTGGACCATATATCCAAAGAAGAACAAAGAATCAACTATAACTCGCCCTCGCAAGGATGCAACACACTAAAACGCGTATAAGCTCAATAGTACTCTGTTTGTGTTGCAAGGATTCGGATCAGTAAGAAAGTGGAACTATATTGAGGTTCGATAGTTTAACACAACTCTTTATAGATATTGCCCATCCCAAAACAAACAATTTACATTGCTCACTACTTGGTGGCAAACCCTAAACATTATACCTTCAAGACAAACAACCGACAAGTTGGGGTTTACTCTACTTTTCGGCCTCCGCATCCAATTCAATTTTTCAATTTCAAAGTACAATAAGATCAATAACCAACAAAAATTCAAACCAAAATAGCAAACCATGATAATTTTTACCAATCACAACAAACAAATAAAACCCATAATTCCAAACCAAAAAATCCCATAATATAACAATCAAAGCTAACAAAAATTCAAATTATCAATCAAATAATCATGATTCGACCAAAATCACTCACAAATTAACATAAAAAACCATTCAAAATACAGAAAATTAAAAGAAAAAAGCGAAAAGAGAGAGAATCAAAACCATGAAGAAGAAGATCAATTGTAGTAGAGCTCAAGACCCATTCCATCATGAATCTCATAATCCTCAAGAGTAATATGATCCTTGTAAATTGTATACCACTTCTGAATTCGGATCTTTTCGGCGCGAGTACCAGTTTGAGCAGCAACAAGCTTCTTCAAGTCTCCAATGGTGTCATCTTTGTTGCACTTCACTCGAACTTTCTTCCCTAACCTATCGTTCAACACCACCTCAATCATCTTTCCTACTTTGCACGATCTAATTCTTCAATTGAATTGGGGAATTTTTCTCCAGTAAACCCTAAAATTGTTGATTAAGGGGGTTGGTTGGGTTTTTATATTTTTATACCGTTGAAAATTATACGTACGGGAATTTCTTGGTAAATTTCACGCGACATAAGAAGGTCGGCGCATGATTATAGAATTTATTTATTTTTATATTTTTATATTTATACGGATGTTAGGCCGTCAGGGCTTGTTTTCATTGACTGAACTGAACTAAACTAAACTAAATTTTTTAGAGCTGAACTGGATATTAGAGAAGAAAATTAGGAGCTGAACTGAACTTATTAGAGCTAAAAGGTTTTCAAAAAAAAAAAAAAAACTTATTAGAGCTAAACTGAACTGAAATGAAAATAATCTGATGAGAACATAAAGCCATAAAAAAAATGCCCAAAAACTTAAAAAATTTAAATTTTGTATATTAACACTCACAAAATACACCTTTTTTGAAATTACCACCCAAAAAAATTATTTTAAATTACCACTCATTAAATTAAAAACCAATAAAATTCCCACCTTTTTTAAATTTCTGTAAAGTCTCTAACAATGGACCCCACATAACAGCTAGTATGACTATTTTGACCTTTTTTTCCCCTCCATTTTCCTCCATAAATTTTCTCTTTAAATTCATACACAATTTCTTCATCAATGATGCTTAATTCACAATCAGGTATTCACAATCAGGTATTCGCATCAGGTATGATCAATTCTTTGTTAAATTAAGGTTCTTCTCACATTAAAATTGGGGTAAATTGAGAGTTTTCTGAATTAGGGTTATTCTCACATTAAAATTGGGGCAACTTGGGGCGTTTTCTGAATTAGGGTTCTTCGCACAAGTAAATTTGGGGGTTTTCCGCAATTATGGTTCATGTTACAAAAGATGGCGACTTTTCCTACTTCTTTCCTCCATTCCAGAATATGCAAGTACACTAGAGTAATGATTTTGCATAAAGGAATTTTGTTTTTTTTTATTGAATGGAGTAAGAGTATAGAACAGTTTAATAGAATAGTGAGACAGGGAAATCGATAGAAGAGAAGGAAAAAAGAGAAGGAAATAAAAAATAAAAAAGTGGGGCCAATGTCAAAAACTTCACCGGAAATTTGAAAATGGTGGGAATTTAATTGGTTTTTTAATTTAAGGGGTGGTAATTTAAAATGAAAAAAAATCGAGTGGTAATTTAAAAAAAAAAGTGTATTTTGTGGGTGGTAATTTACAAAATTTCCTAATAATAATGAAAATTTGTTAGATATTGAAGAAAATACAAAGTGAAGCTCACATGTGATATGTACTTCGGACAATTATATGCATATGAGTCAACAAACGTACAATCACTGGCGGAGCCAGAGGGGTACAAGGGGGGACAGCTGTCCCCCCACCTCCCAAAAACACAATCAGCTATTTATATTATTGTGTGGCGTAATTTAAGATACAAAGTGGATGGTGTGGTGGTGAGTGGAGTTGAATTCTTTACAAGAAACCAAGGTTCAAACCTTGTTGTAGTGTTCTTTTTTTTTTTTTTTGAGGAAGAATCCTTCCATTTTATTTATTAACCAATACGGAGTACTAATTTAATTACATAAGTGTAATTGTGATATTGCATGAACGGAACCCCTAAATAACTATTTTTGAACTTTAATTTAGTGGAGTATTTTCCATTCACTTTTTTTTCTTTTTAATGTTTAAGAAGTATTCCTTTCATTTTTTTTAATTAATATATACTAAGTATATATATTTAAATAATATCTTTAATTATGATATTGCATGAACAAAACCCACTAAATTAAGTTTGTCATAGAAAATTATAAATGATGACTATTGCATTTAATAACCTATATTATTTAATGTTCGAATTTATTAAAAATTTCGAACTCATAAGCGATTATTTTTGAAGGAAAAATTGATATATAATATTGAATTTTTATTAAGTACTCTGTATTTTGGATTTTTTTAGCGGTACACATTAATTATTGAACTTTATGTGTATTTAAGTATTGGTGTTTTTTTCCGGGTATTTTTTGTCAAACTATGTAATGTTCATCCGTCCCCCCGATTTAAAATTTCTGGCTCCGCCACTGCGTACAATCATGTATATATTTTATCATAAAACTTTGACTATATAATGAAAGCTTTACGTAGTAGCATACTACTACATTTCACCACATCTTCTTTCACTTTCTCAATTACTAATAAAAATTTGGAACGGTAAAAAGTTTTAACACGTTATCAAATTCAGTCTATGAATTTGTTAGCCAAGTACAGCAACGCACTATTGGTTGTTCGTTATCTAAATATGAAAAACGATTCATTCAGAACTTGAGAGAAAATTGAATAGATTTTGGGTCCAGAAGTACCACATTTAAGTGCAATTGAAGCCTTAATGAACTTAGCTAACAACACTAGACCCGACATAGCTTTCTCCATGAATTTGTTAGCCAGGTACAGGCGTTGCAGGTACCTACGAGGGACACAAGACCTTGGTTTATTTTATCAACGAAAACAAGATGATGCTCTCGTTGGGTATGCAGACGTTGGATATGATACTTATCAGATCCATAAAATGTTAGGCCAAGTCACAAACTGTATATCTGTTCACTTATGGCGGCACTGCAATATCATGGAAATCAACAAAGCAGACATTGAGCAACATCCTTGAATCATGCAAAGTTGAAGCAGGACGGGAATGTGTATGGCTAAGGTCGATGCATGTTAGCAATATCCAAGAAGAATGTGGAATGAATAGAATAACAAAAAATCCAACCATCATCTTTAAAGACAATCCAACAACATACATCTCTTAAGTAACCGAAAAAACATATTAAGGGAGATTGAACAAAACATATATCCCCAAAACTATTCTTCACACATGATCTGCAAAAGGAAGAGAAGATATATGTCTAGCAAATTCAGTCTAGTGACAATCTTCCGATCTGTTCACCAAATCCATCCCTTCAAAGAAATTTGAGCAATTAGTTCACAAAATCGGAATGCGACATCTTCGTGAACTACGTTGAAATCACCGGGAGTGTTATATGCGCTAAACTCACTTTCCTTCGATTAGGTTTTTATCCCATTGGGTTTTTCCTGACAAGGTTTTTAATGAGGCAGTATACCAAAGCATATAATATATTATCTTTGTACTCTTTTTTCCTAGCTATTGTTTTTATCCCATAGGGTTTTACCTAACAAGGTTTTGAATGAGGCAACCCATACCCTATTTCATGTGAATATTCAAGGGGGAGAGTTAAAGAAAATACAAAGTGATGTTCATATGTTATTTAATTGGTACGATTCTACGATCGATTCCAATCCACCTAAACGATGTAAATAGTCGGTAGAATTGCTATGCTGTAGAATCACTCATGGAATCGGTTAAAATAGGTACCAATTCTACAATTCTGTAACGATTCCAATTCTGATTTTCCAAAACTCATAACTTTTGATTGCGAAGTCGAAATGGGGAAATATTATATCTTTGGAAAGCTCTTGACTCTTGGAGCGATTTCCATAAATAATGCTAAAATAAAAAATAATTTCGTGTATATGTCAGTTTTAAAACTATTTCCCGTGATATCGTACACATAGGATTGGTGGAGGTTTGTGTAATCCGAGGCTATAAACCGCTAATAACAATAGCGGATTTATGAAGTGTCAGAATCAATCCCAAAGCACAAAGTGTGGTGACTAACTTGGGTTCTTTTCCTATCACGGATTCATGGTCAGATATGACAATGACCATGAACTTGAAAAATTCAACTGCAGTGATGGGATCATTCACAAGAATGCTCACAGATGGTCAATACATTAATGAGCCCTTGTCAGATTTTGGATCTCTACATCCCTCATAACACATTGAAACTACCTTTTTAGGTGATTATAACTTGACTCAACCCGAGATTGATGTGCAAGACATTGATGATGTTGGGGTAGATTCTGATGATGGTGAAGATGACGATGTAAGGGAGGCTAACGAAGTTGATATCAAAGCAAGTGCACCTTCATATGAATTCAATAATGTCCCCGAGTTTGACCAAAAGTTAATTGATGCTTGGAGAACATGGTCAGGGAACAACACATATGCTGGTAATGGTGAGTTTGTTGTTGGCCAAGAATTTGATTCTTTACAGCAATTGAAAGATGCATTGAAATTGTACTCCATAACAAGAAATTAAACATACAAAGTGAAGGAGGTGGAGTCCAACAAATATGTTGTTGAGTGCAAAAGAAAGAAGGAATGCAATTGTCCTTGGAGGCTACGTGCAATTAAAAAACCAGCCCTTCCTACCTTTACAGTTGTCAAATATGGAGGCCCTCATGCATCTAATTGTGTATCTGACATCAACAAAGTTGAACACCCTATTATCACTTCTGATTTTATTTGTGGTATCATATTAGATCTCATAAGAGTCGATCCTTCTTTCAAAGTACATGCTATAGTACAAGTTATCAAGGACCGCTTTCACTATTCCATATTATATAAGAGGGCTTGGTTAGGGAAGAAAAAGGCAATTGCTAGAATTTTTGGCGATTGGGAGCGATCATATGAAGAGTTTCCGAAGTATATGCAAGCACTTCAAGAGGCAAACAATGGAATCGTTGTTCATTGGTGCACGATACAAACATTAGATCCTTCTATTCACGTGTTTAAGAGAGTATTTTGGGATTTTAAGCCGTCCATTGACGACTTTCATCATTGTCGACCTCTTATCACCATTGAAGGCACTCATCTTTATGGAAAGTATAAAGGAACACTTCTCATTGCTATGGATACATATGCAAATTTTCAATTGTTTCCTCTTGCCTTCGCTGTTGTTGAAGGAGAGACTGGTGAGGCTTGGGAGTGGTTTATGGCATACATAAGACAATTTGTTACACAGAGACAAGGTATTTGTGTAATTTCTGATAGGCATAAGTCAATTTTGAAAACAATGACCGAGGTAGGGAGTGGATGGGAGGAGCCTCATGCTCATCACAGGTTTTGCATCCGCCATCTTGCTTCCAATTTCAATTCTGAATTCAAAAATGCTCACTTGAAGAACCTATTCGGTCGTGCAGCTGATACACACCAACAAAATAAGTTCAACTATTAATT